CATTGTCATGACGGTGAAAAGTTTGAAAAACGCTCGTCGATTCTGCAAAGCACTTCACTAAGGAATTTCCAGTTGTCATCATTAATTTGTCAAGATAACCAAAGCTATACTTAAAAGCTATGCTTTCTGCTAATTTCGCTTGGGAGTCCAAAGTTAGCTTTGATTTTCCTTTAATTTGTAGCCTCTAAGAGACTGATGATTGTCTGCCTGATGTCAGGAAAATCAGTATCAATGTATCTTACGTTATAGCGAATCACTTCACATTACCTTTTGTGCTATTATTAATTCCTGTTCAACTTTTTCTCTTCCGTATTATCATCTTCTCTATACGGCATAGTTTAATATTTCAGTAGCGGTGATAATATGCTTCAACTCAACTCAGGTCTGATAGGTCTTTTGACCAAATATTTATTAACCTGTATTGTTTCAACCTTCTTTATTTTATTCACTTTAATTGTCTCATTTTAATCCTGTTCAAGCCACCATCTTAGCTTAGTGTTCTATTTCAGTCCAGTTCAGCAAAGTTTAGTACTGTTAAGACGGTTAAATCACGTTTAATTTGATACCGGAATAGGAATTTGGAATCCAAAAGTTCAATTTGCCATAACCCAAATTGCAACCCAAAAGAGAACGTATTTTTTCCTTTTAGTTTTTTTCTTGCATTCTTTTCTTTTGATATTGAACTTATCTTTTCAAGTATTTTGATATAAAATGATCGATTTGCTTATTGCGTTTGCACTATTTGTCTTTTGTTGTATCCATGGTTTCCTGTCCTGAAATGAGTGACAGTAGCTGTTGCATTGAATGGGCCAAGCTACCTTCCTCAGGTGTTATTATTTCATTACCCAGGTGTGTTGAGGAATACAAATCTTCATGTGTTAAATTAAGCATCAATGATCACCGAAATAAACTTAGAATTTCCCCTACACAACACAGCAAACAGCAACAAGCCCAGCCCAGTCCAGCCTAGCCCAGCACCACTAGTGTCGTTTTTCAGCTGATTGCTTCAGATTATTGCAATTTCGTGATAACTTAATGAAACATTTCATTGTACTGAGCAGTTTAAAGTAGAGAAACTTGTAAACATCGCCTAATAATAAAGTATCCGCTTACAAAATAAACTAAACTTTATGTGTAGTTTGACAATTAACTTACATTTCATTGCATTTTGTTGCAGGGAACTGCACGGAAAATGAGCTGGATCAGATTACCTCACTGATCAAAGCATGAATCAGAAGCTAGCATCAGTAAGTAACATGGATGCATGTCAAATTCATCCTTAGAGAAATTTTTCTCGGATATAACGAAGGCATGCTGAAATCAATAGGTTAGGCCGCAGTTGTGATTTGCGATAAACAACTCATTATGAGTGATAAACTAACTAATTCACTGCAACATACTTCATCTTAGCTTCATATGAGCAGTTAGATCGGCTAAGTGATCTTGACGAAAGATTTTTAAGCTTCAGAAGTTACAAAAAAAAAAAAAATAAATAAATAAGTGTTCGTCAGCAAAATATCATAGAAGCGGGATGGTAGGACAAGGTGACTGCTTCATAAAGCAATCGTTATATTTAGACTAAACGTGTTCGCATCAAGGGGTTACCATCTGCTGCCAATTAATCCATTAGATAACAGACTCGTTCTTACTAATTGAATCGTTCCCTTTCAAATATCTTTTCTTCTTTATGTAAACAATGATTACTTACTTGGCTCATAATGGTAACAGGTGAAAACCCTTTGTATTAACACAGAATAAAAGTTAAATAATTTTACTGATTGAGACTTAACGTTTGTACCGCCTTGCTATTGAAACTTGAGTTTAGATTTCTACTTCTTGTCTTCTTCTCTCTCTCCGTCTTGAATTGCATCCACACCTTAATAGCTATTGGTAGGGTCAATGGCCTGATATTGTTCTTGCCAATCGATCATCAAAGAATTATTTTAACTCCATCTTTCTAATTTTACTAATCACAATTATCACTGGCCGACATTTTCAATATTACTGCAATGAAAAGTGAAAGTAAATGGTACCCAGAGAACTAAATAGGAAAGTGCCACATTCTCAGATACCAACCTCAAAAGAGTACAGTATTAACTCTTGGTACTTTAATAAATACATTAAACAAATACGTATAATAATGCCTTCAATAATATCACTATGGATTCAATTGACACGTATGAACACGTACTGAGATGAAATCCTTGCGGAAATGTAGAAAATAGTAAGTTGGTATTACGAATGACGGTTCCAATCACATTTCATAAACATTCATTGAATTGCATGTTTGTGCATAGCATGCATCGACCATAACTGCATGCAGTACGGTGAATTTCTTGAGTTCATTTAAAAGGAACAGTAGGATTGTGAGTCGTAAAAATATTTCTTTATTTGTTTATTGTTATTACTAGTAATTATTAATTAATAGCATCGTTATTAGCAAGAAGAAAAGTATAGGGGAGAATTAGTAAAAATACCTTGTTGCTTTGAACATATTTGGTACCCCGAACAGCTACTTAGATCGCCGGAGAAAATTGATTCTCCTCAAATCTAATTAAATTCGACGAATCAGTTTTGAAAATAGCAAGCTGGAATCCATGCAATAGAAGACGATAATTATAATATATTTCTAAACTCACTAAATCTCATAAATGAATGCTTGCAACTCAATCCAAATCTAAGAAATATGGCCAGCTCACATCAGAATGACGGTTAACCGGATGTGTGTTTTACTAGTGATTTGAGAATTTAAAAAAAATCTGAAAAGGCTGATAAAAAATTTCGTGACACATTGACTAAATGACATGCCCAAAAGGCTCAGAAAGTGGAAATCAGTATTTGTGACAAATGTCTTACCGGCATCATATGGATAATTCATTCTAGCATATATATGTACTTCAACTGGAAGTAAGTACTGTGCCATGAAAGAATGCAGTCGTTATCAAGAAAAATACACCAAATTTGACAAGAAAGTCTTCTAGAGTTCACGACAGCACTGTTGGAAATTCATTCCATTTAATTATAGCACAACAAATTTCATCCCTCTCAACAGTGAAATAAAGCTCACCGCGTTGCTCTTAGTTTCTGATTTTGCAAATCCCTTAAGTACTGAAGAAGTATTGGGAAAAGGGCATTAACAGACAAAGCCTCTATTTACATACCCTTCGGACCTTTTACCTTTACCTAGTATTTTTTAATTTTGATCTGCAGCTCACTGATGTTTATTAAACTCTTTTTCTGCACTGCATTATCATCATCATCCAAAAAAACAACCATATGTTATGCCGCAGATTTATAACATTTTGGATGTTTGACGTTGTCGTACAATATACATCTCACATATAATCAAACCATTCAATAATTGCTAAGAAGACTTCAAATTCATGAACGAAATTTTAAGTTAACTAAGAGTGAAATAGCAAAGAACCGAAAATTATTTTTGATCACAGACCATTTCACAACAAATGAATCGACTCCATATGAAATAAGTTACATGCAATTTTCTTATTCCATTATTGAAATTGAAACTTCAAGAAAATAACTGACGCTTATGACCTGCCCCTCCATGCTAAACAGCTAATGGACCACTTCCACTATATCCAATTTTCAAAGTCATTTTCGACACCACGATTTTATGAATATATATGCCTATGTACTTAAATAACGAACTATTTAAAGTTAATTGTAAATTATTAGTTTGCTAATCAGAAAGTGTGATTTTCAATAGGCAAGTAAACTTAAAATGCTTACCAACACAATATGATCTGACACTTCCACTAAACAAGCGTCAAAATTTTCATTTAGAAATAAGTCAAGGTTGAGTCAAACATTATGATGAAGCAAGTTTCTTCATTTAGTAACTTATCAATATAAATTTTATATTAACTTCGGGCAAAAAAAGAAAAAATTAGGTCTAAAAAAATGGATAAAAAAACATGAACAAAAAATATGTATTACAAACATATAATTCAACACACTGCTCACTATAATCTTGCATTCTATAAAGAAAAATTGATAGCATATTTCTACCAATCTAAAAAATGCAAATTATAGTGATTCCAGTTCAGTGTTCAGTTCTTTTGATTCCACTGATATTTCCTGATCACTGTTGATATTTTTACCAATTATATATTTATCAGCAACTTCTTCTATCAAATGCTTTCGTTTCCTTTTCCGCGTTGGTTCCTTTGTTTGAAACCCAACTGGTAAAGTCTGTTGTTCTCCATCACCGCCAAGCTCAGAATCACTATCACTTACTACCGTGCGACTATCATCCACTACAGTAGTAATATCCATTACTATTTGGGGCTGCTTTGTCTTACTCTGAAATTTCACTTCAATTAATTATTTAGCATAAAATGTTGATAGTTCATTTGCTGCACTTATTCATTAAACGCTCAATTTCGTAGAAATTTTCAGTTTTACTTACCACCTAAAAATCGAATTGGATTAATAATCCATAATGGCCTAGAAAAGATTAAGCTACGATAGTTACTTCTGGTTCTTCGTCTGATTCGTTGGATGAGGTAGCATCGCTTTCATCTTCCACAGCAGTTATTTTGATATCGCACTTCGTGGCATTATTCAAATTGCTATTTGCAGTTGCAATTTCAGGCAGAAATTCTCGCAATCGATTCAACAGAGCTGTAGGCTTTTCGGGCCGATTTAAATCCAATATTCTAGCCAAATCCATGAAAAAGCGCTTTTTCAAGTTAGCTGAAAAACACTTCGGGTTAGCATCATCTGTACACGTATCCTGCAGTTTAATTCAGTATATCTACTTTGCGAAGCAGATAGATTAACAGTTCCGTTGCTCTTTTCATATAACCATCATTTAAAAGTTTGAACTTGAAAAAAAAAAGTAGTAAATATTCCAATTGTCGCCTCACAAATGAAACGGTTAAAATTCAAAAGTCATTTCTATCCTTCGTTTTCGAGACACAATAACGTCAAAATAGGATTACCACTAAATTCGTCCCACAACTGCCCTCGCTAATCCGTCAGCCAAACCCCAACAAGAGCAACCCGAAAGTTTGGGAGCTTAACTGGACAACCTCCACTGCAGAGGAGACGAGAAATAAGTTGCAAAGATGGAGTGACTCAGACGGACAGAAGACATTGGGGTTGCATAGACAGTATGGGCATTGAGTTGTAGCAGCGAATAATAACATCCCCCTAAAGTTATCTAGGATTGGGCATGGTGTCGAGTAGCGAAAATACTCTTTGCGAGTCGATTCTTGTGCTGGTGGGGCTGTTGTGCAAATACTAATCCCAGGTGGCAAGTTAGTTTTCTCGTTGGCAAAAATATAGTGATTGATTATCATGGTCCTTACTTCTTTAATAAGGATATACTTTGACATACTTCTAGTCAGTTGAAATTCACATCCGTTCGTTTACCTTTTTCCATCCAATAACTTTCCATTCAAAAATTTTTTCAGTCTCTGTTTTTGAATTAGATACATAACCTGTTTGTCGTTGCTTTCATTTTTTGACATCTCAAGAATGGATTATACTTTTCTCAGTCCCAGCCCTTGTACAATATTTAATAAATATTTTCATGTAACGTTCCCTGTCTGCTATGGTACCAATGGCAATGTATTATTTTCAGGTGGTGTAAATTTGTCATCACAGTTCACAAATCGTTAAATTTATACTATGTTTTGAAGTACGCTTATTACCTCAACCTACAAAGTGCATCTTATTCACCTTACATTTTCAGTCACTATCCCTAGTATAATCCTTCAAATCAAATTTGACCAATTTATTTTATTACTGGTCTTATTAAAGCACTTAGCTGTTATCTTCATTATTATTATTTTTATCAGTATTGTACAGCTTTACTGTGATCAGCAGCTTAAGTTTAAGCTTAACTGTTTTCACTCCATATATCTTGCCATATTGCTCATGCTAGCTATCCCGTATATATATATATATATATGAGATCGAATAAATAATGTCGGACTGAAGTAAATACTTCATTAGCGTGATCCGTTTGTGCAGAATACTAGCGAATATGTCGTGGGAATATTTCTAAGCAAAAAATGTGATATTTCGTTAATCAAAGTTTTCATCCATAGCACTCTACTGAAAAGTTTACAGCATGTTTCGGTCACTAAACAAATGGCAAGAATTAACTACATCCATGTCATTTCGAAACTTATTATCCACCATTGCAAGTAAATCAGAGAATTCACTGATTGCCAAAGAATTGCCGAGCACAGTGGATGAAATTGGGATACCGCATGCTATTAAGGTGATTTTTTTCCTCTTTCGCTTCCATGAAGATCTTTTTTTTCCTTATCACTGTTGTGATTAAAGTATCATTTCCACAATGATTTAATGAACTGGAGTTTTGACATTTCCCTGACTGGTAATCCTGTCTGGTAATCTGTCTTGGATCAGAGCAGTGTTATTTTTTTTTTTATCTCTCTTATTTGCACATCGTTTTCTTATCGAATGCAATCCTTTTGCATTGCATTCGATATTTCCAGTACTCAAATAACTGCAGTACCGATTGGTGGTTAAATCTATAAATTCTTATATTTTATGATAGTTATTTCCTGAAATAACAGTAGAAATTGATTGGATCATCTTTTTTTCAGTTGGACTTATTTATTGTTTATTATTTTCTGAACTTTTTCCATTGATGATTATGTGTAATGAAAGTGGGTATGGTTTAGGCTTACCCGACTTTATAAAAATTATTAAAATTTAAAGTAAAACGACCGAAATTTTGAGAGCGTAGGGGAGTTCATCTGGTGTGAAATATGGGTGTGGATATAGATAATTTGCTCAAGCAAAATTGCACTTATTTATATGAAGACCTTATATAATGGTAAAGCAAAGGCAGTTTTTTATTTAATTATCAAAGAGCTTTTTTTTACGGAAATTTTCACTTATCAAGAATTTATTTACTCCCGACATTCGTTGAATCAAATAACTAAATGTCCAGTATTTTATATTATTCTCGAGACAAGAATAATTTTAGCGCAGTCCAACGGATTTGCTTCGTGCATTAGCGGATACAGTTGATGTTGATCCGACGGCTCCACATTTTGCTTTTATCGATGATCCGTTAACAATTCCTACAGATTCACAGCGCGATTTATATTTTGTTGCCAAAGTATGATATATTTTTGTTAATCTTTTCTTATTTCATTTTCAATGAAAGTATAAACCAATTAAAAACTCTTCTTGATTGTCTGACATGGATGTACATTTTATCAATTCTATCATACAAGAAGGAATTAGTGTTTCGAATTGTGTTCATCTTTGTAATGGCAGAAGAATTAATGGACCACAACATTGCAACATTATTTCGTAGTGAATTTATTGAAAGATTTGATAAATGAGAATTATTCTAAATACAAAAATCATTTGATAATATTTTTGCAGGAAACTGGACGTCGTGCGGCTCAGCAACTTGCTCAGGAGTGGCCAACGTTATTCATGTATGATACAGATGTACCACGTATTCAAGCTTATCGACCGCAGAAATCACCCGATCCCTCTGAGATTGCACCCACAGTTGAAAATTTACAAAAACTGATTGCAGCCAAAGAGGTGGTCGGTGCAAACCAGTTATGTGATAGATTGGCCGCCGAAAATATAGCAGTACCTCGGGAAATATTGGTCAGTTATATCGTAATTATTGAATTGTTAAGTAATTTTCTTTATAAATATTGATTGCTAAAAAACAAATCACTTAAATTACTAATAGTTTTACATTGGATCATTGAATGAACAGCTCAATAATTGGCGATGTCAATATCTTCTGATGAACTGATATAATGCTATGTTCATCGTACAGTTATGCAACTAGTGTATTACTGGCAGAATGATTGAATGATTTTTTTGATTTCGGAATTATTCATATTGGGATAGGAGAATATCTTTAAAAAATAGTGATATGAATAATTTTGAACGTTATTGTGTGTTTTATTTAATTTTTTCTAGAATTTATTTCAGGTTGACCTATTTTGCTTGTTGGTTTACTATAATGGTAAGCAAATCCCAGTGGCTGAAATACCTTGGCATGGATGGCGAAATTATGGTTGTCAAGTGGAACAAGAACCAGAAATATGGGACAGTGTGAGCTTCTTAACAATATGGAATTTAATGAAATGTGGAAAGGGAATTTCAAAATAAGGCTTTTTTTTTAATGATAATAAACACTGCGTGATATATGTTAATGTTAGTAGTATTATTTTTCATTACTGTATTTTTTGATTATTTATTATTTCCACTGAAATCTTATTTGGACTATCCACTGCGACATAACAGTTTCGGCAGCAGAGAGGATATTTACCGTTTATTAATTACTCGAGACCAGATGTTGTAAGTGCTGAAGCATCTATGAATTAGAGAAATGGTGTAGTAATAACCGATTGTATTTGTAAGAGGGATGAGAATTGTGGCTAATGTCATTGTCAAGAAATGCGTTGTTCTAGAAAAGCTGAATTGTTATCTTGATGATCAACAAATGTGTAGTAGAATTGCTTCATATTCATTAAATCAATCAACCCAAATTCATTATTTAATAAGTTTCTCATGGAGAAGAGACTGATGTAAATCATGATTTATTTATAATTAATTTTATCAGGGTGGTGCAGCTGATCTTTTATTTGAAGAACTTGAAAAAGATGAAGAAATTTATTCTGTAATGATAGCTGGATTGTGTAAATATCGTAATGCTGAATGTACCACACGCGCATTGGAAATTTATAAGGTAGGAACTGTTAACTATTTTATAATCATTCAGCTGTGTTGTCAGCGATTGTTTGGATTCTTTAGAACAACGGATATTTAAGGAAATGTGTGAGAAAGATTTTGTTCCAACTGTTGAGGCATACTACGGTTTAATTACAATTGCGAAGACTTGGCAAGAAGCGATATTTTATTTGAAAGATATGGCACAAAAATGTGTAAAACCGAATATTCGGATTTTCAATGTTTTGATCGAAAAATCTACATCAGTAGTGAGTTTGATTTACAGAGATGAACTTCTTTATGCATACTGATTCTTTTTCCTTATATTTGTCTCAGTAGTCTAATTTTATGCACTAGGTTTTAGCTTATTTTCCATCCATCTACTTATGTGGTTTATTTTCATACGTTTTTTGACTGATTTATTTACCTTGCAGGAAATGTAATAAAGTAGCCAGAAATATTAAGCATTATAATGTACAATGTGATGTATAATGTTTGCAGTAGACCTGTCTCAAACAATAACGCTAATGCAGTATTACATGCATTACTGCAAACCAACAATATTTTCTTCAATGTGGTTTCATACTTTTGATTGTTAAAATAAATGAATTGTAGCAACTTCATGATCAATTTAATACAGCAGTCAAAATATTGAATGAAGCAACGAATGTGGGATGTAAGCCAAGCTTACGTACGTATTCGTTGCTGATGAAAAGTTGTTTAAAGCAGAGGAACATTAGCAAGGTAAGTCTTTTTGTATAGAACTATTTACTACTTCGGAATTTTGCAGAGTTCATAATGTTTTGTTTCCCTTATTTTTTAAAATGTTGGGTCATTTTCTTTGTAGTCTGTCTGCTTAGCGCATCTAGTACATATTCTGGCGGAGCTTGAACAAAGTGAAGCAATTGAAATGTTCGAAAAAGGTGATGAAGAATTTTTCATTAGTGCAATGGACTTTGCACTTCAGACGAGGAATATTGTAGTTGCGGAAAGAATATTAGCTCTTTATCGTTCACCAAATAATCATATTCGTTTACCCGCCTTTCTAGGTGAAGCTGAGTACGTTTTATCCGTTAATTTAATTTTTCATTCATTTTCAAATATTGTCTGCATCTCGAGGTTTCAAGCAGTCGTTTAATTAAAGTAAATGATGAATTCTTGACTAACTCCTTTTCGGCATGCAGCGTGCAGCAAACAGCAGTGACTAGATAATATTGAGTACCTGTTAGCATTCTCGATAAACGTTTGGAATGACTGTCTTCACAAGAGATAATTGTGTATTAGGTTATGCTTTTTTATCTAATCTTCCAACATATTTTTCCATTATTATTTTTCAAGATTTTATGGATTATACCTGCGCATTGTGATTAATCAGTTATCTTTGCAAGAGCTTGAAAAACAATATATGTCATTGGTCCCACGAGCTGTTCCATTGTCCAACAATTTGGCGATGATCATGCTTCGAAGACTGCAGGTTTGATAGAATAATCCCGGATTAAAACTATTGCAGACTTTTTAGTTTCTATCAGACTGCCAAATTATTCTAAATGATCATTGAATTTTTAAATTCTTTCATCCAAAATTTAAAAGAAATTTAGAGTAGAAATTTTCGTTTTTACTTGCGAAGCATACTGAATCTGGCAATTGCATTCAGACCGAAAGGAATGTACCATGGTTATTCTCTCGCAGATTGATTGAAGATTTTATTACAAGTCGACATATTTTACGACCGCATCTAAATCAACAATTGCGCATTTATTTGCTTAATATGGATTTAAAGGTCAGTGTATGTGTGTGTGTGTGTTTCATTATAATATTTATTTAAATTGGCTCATGAACTATGCTTAAGCAATTTTCTTACTGTTTGAATTGTGCAGCTAGATCTGTCAGAAATGTCCTGTAATCACTGAGTTAGTTCTGAAGATTGTTCCTGGGAAAAAATTACATGCTTCAAATTTCAACATCAGGAGCATAGTTTTATTGGAATAACAAATGCTATTTTTTAGAAAATGACTATGGAACAGAGAGAAGAGCTCCGCGATTTAGTTATCAAAATCGTTGATATTTTTGTAGAAATAAGCCGGTTTTCGGAAGTGAAGTATTTGCAAAAGATTCAAAAAAAGTTGGAGTCTGATTTTGTAAGTTTTATTTTCTTGGAAACGATTTAAATTTTAATTCAAACCGTTCAAGTTTGTCTTGAAGTTTAAGTTTTTTTCCTGATGTTTGAATGTTAGCAGCTATCAGAGCACTAGTTTAGGAGAAATTATGTGTAATAATATCGAAAATCTCCTGCTTTTAATGGTAGCATTTTTATCTATAACAGATAGCAGATATGTCGTTGATGATGATGAAGTTGGATGAGAGAGAACGTGCATGGAAATTCCTAGCTCTGTTGTTAAATGAAGAAGCGAAGCAAGGTGAAGCTGCAACAGTTAGCAATGAAAGTATGTGTTGTTTAAAATTTGTTTTTAACCATTTTTATATTCATTATACCAAATAAAATTCATTCATGATCTGTTATCCTAATTTTATAATTTCACCGATTTTGATATTCTTCCATTTCAGGATCTCCGAATTGCGAAACTTTGAATTCACTAATGCAAGAAGCACTGAATGAAGGCAACTGGTATAATGCAAGCTGTTGTTTACAAATTATGGCACTCTATTCACTGTCAGAAAATTTGAAGTCGGAAGTGGATCGTATCTGTAAGCATTGCAACATAACGCCGATACAGCGGAAGATTTTAGAAAACTTTGCTGAATTAAGGAATTAGGAATGCAGTAAGCGTTGCCATAATAGGGTTAAACGTTGTGAAACTTGTGCTATCATACTTTTTTAGTTCCAATAAGTCAGAATGCTCGTTTATGTAATTATATACCGGGAATGGCATAACCGCATTCCCATTCATCTGTAAATCGGATTCCTCAATGAGACTATGATATCAAATGCTAGGAATCTTCATTTAATCGATATGTTGATTGTACTGTTATTAGCTGGTAATTCTGATAAAATTGTAAATCCAGATGTCAGCCGGATTATAACGATGATAATAATGACAATGATGATAAAATAACTGACGACTACGTTGTTAATAATTGTCATTTTACCATATTTCTGATTTTGTTAAGTGTTTATAACACAGTTGCAGACATCTAAAGCGATTTCGTAGAGAACAGCTTGTTCAATCTGTTAATTTATCTGTTGTCATCACTAATTGATGGCACTTGTTATTATATATAAATGTATGATTTGGTGTCCTGGGTGATTGTATCTGGCTAATCATGGTATGAACTTGAGAAAGAAATCAGTCTAAGCTAATGAGATTTCTAATTTTTTAAACAGTGTAACTGTTTTTAAACTCCTTGTGATTATAGTTCTTGGTTGCTAGTTTTTTTTTTTTTTTTTTGCTCCAAAAGAAAACTTTTCTTGAGATAACAGATGTCGAAAGCTATTTAACCTTGGTTTTTTTTTTTTTTTTAAATTCTATCAGATTAACAAGTATATTGTGGATTTTTTGTTGAGGTTAGTTTTTGTTGTATATTTGCAGTTAATTCAGAAAATGTTTTTACTTATTTTTTTGTAAGATTTTATTTGATACGATCATCATTGACAGCGTCTTATACAGTGCTGATTAAGAGAAAATTCTTTCTATATTAATGATGCAAAATTGAGAAATATAAATGTTCTACTGCTAAAATCTTGAAAAGGTTCTCTACTACTCAAAGTTTGAACGAAAAATTACAAAGATCAAAAGTAAAGAATTACTTTGTAAGAAATCATGAAGTGCTTGTGACAGATAGAGAGAAGAATAAAGATCAAAAGGAACATTGGAATATGTTTTTGACAGGGCAAATCTAGAAAACTTTCAACAATATTCTGTATTTATGCATACGTTGGATGGGACTCGTTTATTGGGAGAAATGGAAATGGTTGTCATATATGGGATTATAAAGGCTTTCTTAAACGGTTAACAGGAATAGGATTTGCTGTGAATTCAGGAATAGCTGTATTTTCTGTTTTTGCAGATAAGTAACTGTTGTGCGTAGAGGATTTGGATTTCCATAGGTAAATTGGTTGTCAGTGTAAGTAACTGTTCTGTTCAACTTTGTCGCTAATCCTATCCTTTCATCACTTCTCCACATTTGTATTTTAAAGCTGGTACCTTTCCGTTTGATGATATTAGACAATAGCTGCTTAAAACACACTACTTGTACTTATATCTGCATATATGCTAAATTACCGTAACCGTTTTGTGCTTTCGGAAACGGAGTCGAGAGAGTGGTATAAGTTGAGTTATGCAGAAATTTTGCTATCATAACAATTATTAACAGCATTACTTGAAGCATTCAGTATAATGAATCTCCTAATGCGGATTTTTTTCTAGTTTTTTATGTGCAAGCATTACGATTCCGAATGTAGTACCACAGTGTCAATCGTTTAGTCATCCATTTTCATTCAGGAATTAATTAAGCTCTCAGGAAAACGGTTCATTTATTAAAAATACAAGGCAATTACAATGTTGAAGAAAGATTGTCCTTTTCATCCATTAAAATTGCTTTGAAAGATGGGATTTATTGTGAAAAGAGTCATCAAAGAAAGACTTCTCCTTTGTTGTCAACGCAGAGGTACTCAGCAAGGTTACTTATGATATTTCATCCTGAAATTCTGGTCTGTCGTCGGCGAACATCAAAACTTGACAGATGAGATGAAGCATTTCGATCTTTTCCAGCAGTGCTGATTAAGTGTTAAATGCTCCAATTGACTTTGTTGTCACTTCTTGGCCATATATTCTGAAGTGTTGAATGATGGCACTATAGAATTAGTACTGGGGGACAGTGGTCACTTCAAATATGCGAGTTGTCCACCTCCTAACTTCTGTATATTGTAGTAGACAGGTGTTGAAAACTGATGACACTGCTTCAGAGAGGAGAACATTTCTGTCAACTGTCTTTTTCAGGGTCAAAGTTATGGATCTAATGGAGAAGCTAGCAACTAAACTAGGAAGAAGAGTTTCTACTTTAATTAGTTTCATTTTAATCTGCTGTCACATTACAGTCTTACGAATAAACGAATCATCTAAAAAAGCTATTTCTCCTTTCTTTAGTTCAATTATTTCAGCAACAATCCATTATTTATTGTTGTGGCTTCTATTATTGACATTTGTAATATAGTTGGCCATGTCAAATATCATTTTACATTACGGTATGCTGTATACACCCTTCGAGATACTGTAATGTGTTCCGGTTACTGTAGCAACCTTCATTTCCTCTTTTCTTTTAGCATCGTTTTCATCCATATGAGAAGGTAAGCTTTATTGGAGTGAGGGAATAAAGCATGAAATAGGTATAGAGTACGGCTTGCTTTATGCATCAATGAGAACATTTTGGACCAATGACTCACTCACAAATGCTTATTCTCGTGAATCTCAGACGATTGCTGAAGTTTGTATTTGATGAGAGATTTTATTGTATTAGCATGCATAATGCTTCAGTAAAATCAGTAATAATTGATGGTGTGGCATCAGTGATTCTATTCTTAGTTTTCATCTTTTTTAATGATTGCATTTGTTGTTATCTTGCTACTGTACTGCTTCATATGATCACACTTTTTGGAAATGGTTAAAAACATCTTACAGCTGCTCACTGGTCCAATGGAAATTTTCACTAATTTATTCGGAATGCAGCATATTTCTTGAAATGCGAGTAAAATGACACTTAGCATAGAAACATAATTTAAATTCAACGGACAAATGATATTCTGAAATGAATGGATGGCAGTATGAAATGGGAGTGGTCATTTATGAAAATGCAGCAGCAGCTATTCATAAAGAGCAGTCAATTGGAAACTCACTTTTCTTCAGCATTGGCTTTCTAAAACTTTTCCTATACTCAAAAAACGAAGGCAATAATTCAGCAGGCAAAATTTCAAGAATTCAAGAATTGCTTGTCTTTCTATAAATTCCTATTTCCATACCATTTGATATATTTACACTATATAGTAGTAGTATTTGTAGTAATTGAACAGGGTAGATAGTTTCATAGCAAATACTCATTCATTTATGTTGTAATTTCAAATTTTCTTCAGTGCTGATATGTGGTGTGCTGCTGATGATTTCTGCAGTCGTCATCTTATCTTACAGTCGGCAGAAATTGGTATTTCAAAATTTCGGAATAAAACGATTGTGAAATTGAATATTAGAATCTATTGGTTTTTTTTTTTTTACTAATCGTTGCCAATTTTATAATAACAGCTGTCACAATTGTAAATTCTAGATAAATATTTTGTTACATAGTTCGAAATGATTAATCCAACAATCTTTTTTATCCGTAATCCAGTATTCCTTTCCCAAAAACTGGAAGTGAATGAATGATATATGTTTAGCATGATGTACATTACCGTTTCCGTAAATTTTAATCTAGAAAAAGTGTCGTGAAGTGAAAATCATTTGAAATTTGAAACAGACTGGATTTATTTCCATTCCGACTTGTCGAGCTATCTGAGGTATTATAGAACGCAAGAAATATGTTTAAAGAAACTTATCAAGTTACTCGAGGAATGATAGAACAAAAAAAAAAAAAGAAAAAACATGTTCAGTCTCGAAGACTGCGTGGACTTCATTCTTAGCAACGATATTTCACCGAACTCAGTTGTTATGTTTTCAGGACTATTTACCTGGTCTATTTTGTTGCCTTTGTTCCATTTTGACATACCACAATTATGTGGGTAGCAAATTTGCAGGTGGGTAACAAATCCAGCAAGTCTCGCCCTGGTTATCGACACAATGACTTTCTAAGGAAATCTGAATGCCTGCCTGCTTCTTCAGATTTCATTCCAATAGCAGTGATTAACTCTTTTTTTTTCATTCTAACATTTCTCCCAACTCCCAACCGTTTGTCTAAATTATTTTTCTGACAATAAATTCGATGATTTTTACATATCACCTAGAGTTGATTTCTCTTGATTTTATCATAGAGTGATTATGTACGATTGAAAGAGATCTCGAAATCTGTGATTGTTCAATTCGATCAATCGAAAGAACAGCAATAAAGCAAACATTTAACTATGACGTAATTATTTTATCCTTGACCACTATACTGATCTTTGTATGTGACACCCAAAGTGATCAGAGGTCATCCTTGCTGATGAGCTAAAGGTGTCACTTGTCACATTTCAGTGTCGAACGACCTTCGCATCTTGCTACTACTTAAATGTATCTCCGTTCGTTTGCAGCGCCATTCATTTTCATTCACAATGTCACTTCTCAAAAATGCATTTATTCTTCTTTAGCACTTCATTTTGTTGCACTGTTATTGACATTCTCTTCTAAGCTTCCTTCATTATTTGTGTAAAGTTTCCAACAAAGTTAATAACCCAATGTGGGTATTTTTGCCAAAGAAACCTGTTAAATGGGTAGGATTAAAACTCGAACTTAAAGTGACAATCAGTTTCAAATTTTTTAGTTTTAAGATTATGTTTTGTTCAGTTTAAAACTGCTATTTTCCAAAAAGCAATCATGTCAATGCAACGCTCGAACGGCACAACAGCGCATTGCAGTGGATTTATCGCTTTTCTTCCGATTCTTTCTCATCTTCTTTCGGATTTCAAATTCGATTGAGGCGAGTTCTGATTGTTGTCATTTTTCATCTCTGCCCGTCCTCTCTTGTTGATTTATCAATCAATCAATCAATCAATCCATCACCGTTTCAGTAAAATTCATTAAAGTTTATTATATCTTTTTTTCATTTTGTAATAACCGAAGTTTTGTTCCTTTTTAAAGTTTGAGAATTTTCAATTACTTTCAATTCCTTTTCGAGTTAGAAGATGTATTTCCCACTGTTTCTTTCTTTAAAAGTCCTACCTACCCTAAAATATCCGAATTCTATCGAGAACCTTACTTTTGGTATAGTGATTGATTAAAATGAAATGGCAACAGTTCTCAGTTTTTTCTGATTGAAACAAAGATCAAGAGGGTTATTTATGCCTCTTTGATTCTTTTCTTCTTTAATATCAAATTTGGGTAATTAAATCTTTATTCTAATGAAATAATAATTAATAGAAGAGGAACTCAGCAATTAGAATTTCAATGAGACAACGTGTGTGTGTGACATGAGACAAATCATTTAATATTCAAACTGACATGAGATTCAGTTGAGAATTCACTTCTTTGATGCCGATTTAAGGAAGGAAATAAGTTTGGAGTAAAAGATAAAAGATCGACAATTTCATCACAATTTCTAAGATGGTGCAGAACAGTGATAACAGATATTTCCCTGAAATATGAATTGGGGAAACATTTAAATTCCGAGGCATACTACCAAACACACACAAAATTAGTTTATTTTACCAGTTCAATAAAGTGTGATAAAAATAGAAGTGTACTGATAAGGAGATAAGAATATTCTCAATGTTATCATTGTTTGATGAAGTGAATAACAACAATGCTATCACAACAATCTTGCTGAATGTCAATAAAGAGGTAGGAACAACGATGATTGATTGTAATTGTGAATTAATAACAGATGAGTAATATTAGCTTACAAATTTGTGAAATTTGAATTTAATTCAAAACTATCTTTGATGAGCAAACAAATTTGCTTTTTGATAAGTGAAATAAACCCACGTAAAATATAAATTTAAATAAGCCTTCTGTTTCTATTCTATTATATTATATTATGTTTTCTTCAGGTTGATGTATTTAAAAATATGTATCACATATTTAAAATCTTTCTACTGTTAATTACCGCACATCATTCATGGACATCTAAGTACTATTGCGGTCCTTCTGATAATGCATTTTATCGGTTCCTATCTCAACTACTCACCATACCGTGCGAACAGCATCGCAGTTAGTATCAATGCATCAATTTTAATTAAGTAAATTAATCAATTTTCATTTTAGTCATTTAATTAGTTTAACTCAAATATTATTTAGCCACTGAAAAGGATTTGATGTTCTAGCTTCGGCCTGTACTACTAATTATGACAGTTTGCTGGAAGCAAAGAAAGACAACTAAAATGTTGGAAAGTAGACGAAATGAGAATGGTTTTTCATTGAAAGTGCCGGAAGGAGTTCAGAAGAGATAAGCAGTGATTACTGGTAGTAGTGAGTGGTTGGTTGATGATAGCTTAAGAAAAGTTTGAATATACCTAGGACCACTTTTCCGGAAGAAAAGATGATTTTGAAGTACCGCTTTTTGTAGCATCATTTTATTTCAGTTGTCAATTTCACTTTGTTTTCAGTAAATTCCTGTTGCTTGAAGCATGATCAGTGTTATGACGATTGCAGCGTCACACAGCTCGCTTGCGACACCTTATTCTGCGACTGTTTAAAAAATATCCAAACTAATTTTTATTGTAGGTCAGTGAGCTAATGAAGCATTACAGAATCAGTGAGAAAAAAAGTGACAACTACGTCACAAAATGACTCATAGCTACTAATAATTAATCCAAGTTTTATTTATACTCTCCTCGAAAACACTTTTGCGGCGTCTCATTCGTTTGGGAGGATTCTGTGTTTCGTTCGTGATCACTCCATTCTTCAAATCACTCTCTCTAATTATCGTCTAAATTAGTTCAACACTCAGTTAAAGCAAATCTCTGAATAATCTTTAAAAGTTTTTAACTGTAATTTCTATTTTGCAGGAGAATAATACAACCAATACATTGCAATTTCCCTCAATGGTTCGGCAAATCCTACAAATGCAACTCACGGAGAGAAAGATGTACTCTCGAAAATGAAAGTGAAGACAAGAACAGAACTCAGTAGATATTTTCAGCCGTTTTCCTGTGAGTCCAATCCACTACTGGGCACAATTCTGAACTGAACATGCATCTTTTGATCTTTTAGTCACCTTTTCTTCAACTTCTTGAATTATGCCATATTATTTGCAAAGTTTAAATTAATACTTTTTACTGTGGACATTTCCTCAAAGAAATTTTCATTGAAACGGAGAAAATGGACAATAGCTGGGGCAGTCACTGGTTTACTTGCAACATGCATATCAGAAAATGTTTGACATTCAGATTTTAGACTGAATCCAACAACTCATTTCAGTATTTCCTGTCCTTTCTTATTAGATATGATAGTATAGAACTATCTCAACTGCATTATGAACCGTTAAATAGTCCATGTAGTGTCTTTTCGTCGTCATTATGTAATTTGCATATAGTACGTCAAATAATCATATTTACGTACTACTATACGTTGATGAATTTTCTACTTTTCAGCGACAGTTTCCAGTTTACTCTCAGTTCATCTTTTATCATTGTCATTTGAAAACATTTCGAGTTAAAGTATTGCATCCTTACCTGTTTTAGCTAATAAACGGTATGAATTATTGATTTTTATTAAGCTTAATTGCAAAATTATTGAATTTTAATTACTTGAAAAGATACGAATCGGTGCATTCACTACTGTAAACGTGAAAGCTTCATTCTTTTCAACCGGAATTCACAGTGTGTTCAGAAGATGAGAACCGGAAGTTTTGCGAAATAAATCGCAAGACAGCTTCTTTATGACTGACGTTCATTTCATGTCTTGACATTTCTATTGCTTGTAAATTCGATCATCTGCTTCGAAATTCCTTACTTCACCAAACTTTTTTCGCGTTTCCGTGAGAAGAATTCGCGGTTGGATTTGTCCTAACTTTGTTGCACTCTCTGCATGGCAAGTAAGTGAGAACAAACTTTAATTTTCTCGCCAGCTCTACTAATATCTTAGCTACGATACTAAACCGAGGTACTGCAGCATGTGTTCATTTCACTGAGGACAGGTGAATGAAGTGGGACAGATAAATGAAGTAGGACAGGTGAGTGAAGTATTTAGCAGAGAGGAGCTGTTGTTGTTGTTGTAGGAGGAACTCAACAGCAGTATCGCATGTATTGCATGTGTCGCATGTCACATATGCATCTATCGGCTTCTTTGATGGCTGAATGAATTTGTTTATTCTCTTCCGTTCCTCGCAGTGTTTAGATCTTGTTGCAATCAATCAATTTTTACTGCACTCATTAGTAAACATTTATGACATTGAGGGGAAACTATCAAGAAATGAAATAGTCGAATTCCCGAGAAGGAGATGCACCTTCCCACCAAACTTTGCTTTTTTCCTGCTTTCCATTTATGATTTCCCTTGGTTGTCATCTCAAATGCTATTTTGCAAATTAATTATTTAATGTAAAGCATTGTTAAATTTCTTTGCTTTACATTTCTGCATGTAAGGCTATCGCAGTAAAATTTGTGGAAAAATAAATTTAACAATTTTGTTCTAATGATTTCCACACTTTAACGTTATCTTTGACATTCCGTAGTTCTCATTATATAAATTATGATAGCATTCTGTGAGTTATCACAGCTCGATTTGGTTATGTGATAAAATTTGAATTGTCGTGAAATGTATTTCTCAACATTTAAATAGCAAACTATTCCACTGACTGCATAAACACTGTTATGATAGATCACTCTCTTTATTTGTATCCGTCATTTCCTGTTAAAGTAATTTGACTAACTTTAAAGCATTTCAAAAAAATCTGGCAATTAGCATTCACAATTTTCTTCAAATAACTTCAAAAGTTACTGTTACACTATGCAGTCTTGTTTGTTTATTGCTATCGTTTTATTTACTTGTACATTATTTCTTCATTCATTATGCTTGTGCAAATCATTTAAATATTTCTTATGTGATTTTAGTTTATTATTTCGAGAACAAACAGAGGACTGAGGGGGCTGTTATATGCAATGAGCTAAGCTTTCATATCATCCATCATCCATTGCTTATTTACCCACATATCTTCTTTCTTTCCTTAATTCTTTTTCATCCATTCACTTACTAATGAAGCATTAATTAGCCAATTTACTCGAAAGTCCATTATGCATAAGTGCACAAATGAGCACTGAGAAAATTGTGTCATTGACAAATAACTAATTACAGAGTACTGCGAGTTGCAGTGGTCTCGAAGGGAGGAATTTCCTCGGGTAGCGACTTTCTGCCCTGCCCAGGCTGTTGCAAGAGCGCAAGTAATTACCTCACTGCATGCAATCTATTTCAATTAATTTTCCTCTTCCTATTCCATTTGCTTTTATCGTCCTGCCTTACCTGTCTCACTTATTCATTTTCCTTCCTTGTTTACTCTGCTCACTCACGGTCGAAGCGCTGAGCGGAAATGTCTGTCACTAGTTGCGGTTATCTTAGTGAAGGACATCTGCTATCCTACTGTGTTTGTTTCGCGAGAAAGTGAGCGTGGAATTTTGTCCTAAGTATGTTCAACTACCTACTAGGATTTGTAAATTACTAGGTTTCAGTACCGCCATTCGTTACGACCAAAGAGGCTTCATCACAGTTCTTTATCTTTCACAAAAAGAATTTCCGTCTAGAAACAGTCGTATTCACTACTAAAAGCTCCAAGAAACCTGTGCAGTTCATGCGATACTGTTCTATTTTAAAATAAAATCACCTTTAACCTTCACTATGTAAAGACTAAAATACAACTTTGTGCAAGAAACTATGTGATTCTATGTGAAACTATGCATTTGTTTGTTCTTATTGATATGAATGATTAACCATCCTTAATGGCTGTATGATATCGTGAAATGGGATCTGACTTGAAAAGATTATCGTCGGTCGTAGTTATTGAATAGTATTAGAAAGTTTCAGCAAATAGTGCGAAAACATGATTGTTACATTGCCATCCAGAAAACCTCAGTAAATGTAATAACTCCTTGCATAATAAGCATTAAGACACATCATTTACAATACCGTAGAGGAGGTCAGGTTAGCTAAACAAAGTGCTGGGTTACTGTTAAATTCTAATATAATTTGCAGTTTATAGGAAACCGACAAAAAAAGCAAAAGGGTCAAGTAAACAAAGAGTTGATAATTGTAAATAATACAGTCAACACGTATTCTTTGTTAACAAACATAACGAAAATAAATATTAGATAAATAACTTCTTATGTTACATTTGCTCAAGAAATGCTCAACATATTATAATCCGGTTTTTTCTAACGGATGACATGAATATGTAACATTTGATGGGCATAAATTTACGTAAATATCTGGTTTTATTCGTAAAGTATCAAAAGCTTTTGAAATGTGATCAATCTTCCAAAGCACAGATTGTTTATTGACACGAATTCGTTACTGCTTAATTCCTTATTAAACAAAAAACAGTGAAGTTTTAGGTCCTATTCACGATGCTACAATATATTTTGCACATAAAACCAAATTTTATGGATATCCAATAGTTATGACTTTTTCCCTGAAAAGCTAATTGAGATTTTGATTTGACATTGAATTTTCTACTCGACACCACTAATTTTTTCACACTTCTTTCAATCAGGAAAAAACAAGTTAGCCACATCTATTTGTTTGGTCTTGAAATGAAATGAAATTAAAATAGTTAGGTTATAAAAGAAACTTTTCAGTTCCATTCAATCAAGTTTACAGTTTTTGAAATGATTGAGATCCATTCGATACTACTCTAAATGTGTCCATTGCATTAAATTAGGCATAAAAATTTCTGAGATTCCACTTTCTCAATTTGTCATATCTCATTTTATGGATTGCTTTAATTTCTTTTCTTCCTTATCTTCATGAAAATATTTTATTTTAAAAAACCCTACCAAATTACTTGGAAACAGGACTTATTGTCACTAAGAATGACTTCATCCGCTCATGCATTTGTCTTCCCAAAATAACTTAGAAATCATTTGATGGCATTTGCTGATGTCCCTTTCTCTTCTTCTCTCATTTCCTGTCACATTCCTCTTCTTTGTCTCCTCTTCGATCGAGACAGAAGTGACTGTTCCAAAGAACCCAAAACATTTCAGTATTATTTCTTTCCTAAAAAAATCTGCAAAATGTATATGCTACGCAAATCTCAATTATTTCAACGGTTTTTCGCCATTTCTTACTATGTTCTCGTTGTACATGTAATGAAATGATGAAATATTGATCATCGATTCGGTGCTACCGGAAATGTTAAAGTCGCCTAATAATTGATGACGGTAAAGTAGCTGCGATAGAGCTGGTGGTGGTTAGAGTGCAATTAAAATAAATTATAACATAGAGTGAAGTAAAATTAATAATAATAATAATAATAAATAATATTAACACTAATAATAATAATAACAAATAATGATAATAATAATAGTAATGGCAATAATAATAACGGTAATAATAATGATCAAAATAATAATAATCCAATATTTCCTGATTCAGTGAATTGTCTTGTTTCAATTTGCATTAGTAACACAATGATCCATAACTATGGTTGTGCGGGTAGAAATGGACTTGGAAACAGGAGGTATTAGGTTTTATAAAATTGGAGCAAATGTTCGAGCAGTCATTAAGAGGTAACTCTTCAGAGACACCTGGAACAGCTGATGAGTGTGCACTTTATCTTTGTGCATTTTATCATCTCTGATCAATAAATGATACCACTTTTATCATCTCTGATCAATAAATGATACCACTTTTATCATCTCTGATCAATAAATGATACCACTTTTATCATTTCTGATCAGTAAATAATAGTCATAATAAAATGTCTGAGTATTGTTCAAGTCGAGATTCAGATTGCAGATGAATTTGATTATATTAACTGTCATTTCATGCACTCTAGTAACTAACATTTTCTTCCTCAAATTAAAACTTTGACAACATTTCATCTATTTCAATTCAACTTACGTCAAAAAATACTGAAAAATTTTCGAATTTCCAAAGTCTTCGCATTCTAATAAAAGCAAGCGCAATTATAACTAAACTTATACCATAACTAATTTAAAATTTTTTAACAATGCAACAAATTTCATCTTACATTATCGAAAAATTTTTCGATAAGTAAAACATTGCGCACAGTAATTCTGTTGCTTAGCTCTCCTCAGAGAACTTATTCAGTTTAAAAGTTCAGTTGGTTTCATAGATCGGTTATCCTGCGCTAATGTGCTACTATGCTAATTATTACGATGGATAGGTTTTAAGGTAGGAAATGCGAGACAGCTTTTACACTAATGCTTAGTTGATTCGATCGAAGACAGTTATACTTAATCATTTCGTTGCACAGACTGAATAACAAATCGTTGCAGTAATAGAATTTGTCTGAATTTTTTTTTTTTTTTTTGTTTAGCTAATTTCCTGGATTATTACAGCAAAAGTGAACAATTTGTTATCAAATAAATAAATCAAACTAAGAGTTCGCAGATATCTGTGTGAGGATTTTTAGACCGATCGATCAATAATCACTTGCATCAATTGAATTTGAACAGTCTAAGTGTTTGCTTACTTTGAGTGCTTCTCTCAAGCATTTAATTTTACTAGTTTTCAATATTTTTTAATAATTCTGATTAACTCAAAACCTGCAAAAATATAGTTTTCAATGGATTGTTCGTTTCAGACTGGGTCTATAAGGATAGCAATCGTTGCAAATTTATCGTTGATGAAATGTCACTGTGACGAATGGATCAGCAATGAGATCATTTAGTTTCGTTAATTATTGTTATTAGTGCACATTTTTGCTCATTCCCGTTGTCATCATACTTTCATTTTGTGTCACCAAGATGTCACTGCTGTTATTGTGTTACGATCCTTTATGCTTATCAGCTGCATTATCATCGTTGTTTTCATTGATATTAGTAGTACCATCATTCAGAAACTATCGATGTGCTGTCATCAAGTAGTGACAGACGGTGACATCTTTACCTTTAATTGGAAAACCTTCCTTTTAATTACTATACCATACACCTTATCGTCGCCGAATTCTGTCATTTTCACTGCTGCACTTATTATGCAGCTATCATTAAAGCCGTTGGCGGAAAAGGAAATGGAGCGGTTGTGGTCAGATACGACACTAATGATAGTATTCAGTTCTGTTAATTGGAATTTGCTTGATTCTGGTAATGAAATTCATCCATATCAGTAGTCCCTTCCATAGTCTTTTTGCAATTATTTTATTAGAAAGATTTACAATTTAACCTGTGGGAATATCAAGTAGGTTTAGCTATTCCGTAACGGTAAAAACGGAGAGATGATAAATAACCTAGCTATTAGTGAGCTAATCGATGGTCTGAATTCATTCAAAAAGCACTTTCGTTTCAAATTGAAATTCGTTCCTATCCCAGTCCCTTTTCATCAGTATGCTCATGAAATTCTCAATCTTTGCTAACGATGACTTTTATTTTCCTGAATGAAATTTACTACTTTTATCATTCCAACACACTTATAGTAATTGGTAGTTTATAGTGTCACAGAATCAATTACATATCTGCGGATCCGGAAACAAAATTTTGCATTTTTTTTCTAATTGGAAACTTGAAAAATCTTAACGACACAAGTACAGTACTGTCTGTTGCTCTTCTACTGGATGAAGTACACAGGTCATGGTAAGTAAGAATTAAGTATTCAGTGATTGAGTGTTCAGTTAGAAAAGAATGGGTGGAAGTGTAAGCGATCAAACTATCACATGTCGCGAGGAAGAGAAAGGACATTTGAAATTTGAAATTCTTTTCAAATTATGCATGCATCAAATGACTCCATATCAATATCCAGCACAGTCCTTAAGCGATCCACCCTCCTTCTCTTCGTCTTTCTACTTTTGTTGTCGTTCCAATTGTCCCTTTGCATTTCTGAGTAGCCAATGCTTTTCTCCTTCCCACTTTCGTTTTGCAAATTTAAAGCTTCCAATTGGTGTCGTGTAGGAATCGTCACAGCTGCTGTTGTCTAAGTTAATGCTCACTGCAGTTCTTTCCTCTATGCTTATCTCCCTCTCCCTCTCTCTCTCTCTCTCTCTCCACCGATCTCTCCATACTGTTTATTTGTTTATCTGGTGCAAGATGAATCGATCTCCTTCTCCTCTCTCCGTGTCAACTGTCAACTCAGCTCCTAATCATCACAATTGCAGTGGTCATTAGTGTTAGCGGCAGCAGCAATCGTTTCCTTGTGCTAATACGATTCAATCTCACGTGCATATCTGACGTCCGAGCTCGGAAACGAGTGGCTCTGCGTGCTGCGATCTACTAATTCCATGCTTTAATATTTGAATCGTTGAAAAGCTTGAACTCAATGGAATTAAACATTTTAAAGACATTCTCGCTGTAAGCGTTTCCTCTTTTGCCAAGTTTAAAAGTGTTAGACGAATCATTCCTTGTCTGACTGAGGAGCGGTCTGTCCTTTGTCCACTCAGGTACTCTACTCCTTATCGGTGCTATATCATTTGTTTGATAACTCTTTAGACTGATGCTTGTCATCGTTGTGTCCCAGAGGAGTTGTCAACGAAGTAGGTATCAATTTTGTCTTATTTTGCCTCCCTTAGCATTACTATAATAAATTACCATGCAAAATAAGCCATTCATAGACACGTTAATTACTTTAAAGTCTTGATCTAGCAAGATGACAAGTGGTTGTAACGATGACACAACTTCACTTATAAGTGTTCTATCTCTAGGAATCGAAACTTAAAACCTGTTGAATGTGTTGAGTAATAGATACATATATCTTACGGGAATATGAACAATGATAGTAGCTCAGTGTCGGATAAACTAACTGTTGTTATCCACTTCTGTTGAGCATTCATTCCGGAACATTCGTTAACTCTTCCCGCCACTGTTCAATGTTACTATTTGATTTCAATAATTTCACGCCTAATAAAAAGTACTATGAAATTCCTGCTATAAAATGAGCCAACTTCCGGAATTATATGAGCAATTATTGCGTTATTTTGTTTTCAAATGCATTTCTCACTCCTAAATGAGTAAAGAATATGTGAAATAATTTCTGATCGAATGATTCTTTAACCGTAACCGGTTCACCAGCCCTACTCATCTACCGCATGATTCGTCATGCATCATTAGCTCACTTCAGATTTGAGTTCTTTTTTTCTTTCTTTTAGGTTTTGGGGCCATTTGAGGTGGAAACAAATTTACGAAAGTATGCACCGCATCGAAACCATGCTGAATGCGGAAACAGCAGGAGATCATTGCGGTAAAAATTTTATTTCCATATTTTTCCTGAACTTTATCTTTCTTCATCGTAGAATTTCTCCAGCAAGAGATTGTAATAAATGAATTAATTAATTAGTTAACCAATCAATTAAATTAATTAAATATACGCGTATATTTGTATAGAATAATGTAGAGCAATATTAATTTTCTAATGTTTAATCATCAGAGATACAAAATTAATTGAATACTGTCAATTTGAAGTTTAAATTCTTGTTTAGTTGTTGTAATCCTCGTGATCTCAGTTCACATCTCAATTCTGAATTGATCGGGTTAGATAATTTAGAACACTTAATCGTTTATCTTTGAAGTGTTTAAGGTCAATAAATTCAAAGTGGTACTATTAGGGTGCCATCTGCTCTGTCATTGTTTACATTGAGTTCATTTCGGAAATTTCGATCAAAGATTTTGGTTGTTGCTAATTTCACTATGGTTTTTTGTTCTTCCCAAATTTTCATTACACACTTTTAAAGATTTATAGTCAGCTTTGTCCATTCCAACTGATTTGCTTTTCAAAACTTTCCTGAAAACTTTGACTTTGTTGCAATTCAAAGCAACGATATTTCGTTTCATTTTCTTATCCTGAAATCTTGAAATGATCATACTTGTAATGAACAAACAGAGGGATTATGCATGATATCGAACTGAAATGAATTAATAACCTTAAGTATTTACTTACATCGTATTCCAGATGAAGCATATCTCGTCATCAAAACAGATCCCAGAAATTATTTTCTGGATAGCAGTTATATTTAAAAAAAAAAAAAAACCATCTCTTACAGTTATAATTCCTATCTTTCTGTTTTGAAGTATACATAAGTTTTACTTTTCACAAGCGATCATTTCCCTTTTCATTGCACAGTTTACTGCACATTGTCAAACCATTCTTCTTCTTCCTTTCATCTCGTCATCAAAACAGATCAAACGCATGACTACAAATGAGTGACATTGTTTGCTTTCCTTAAGATAGAAATATTCGCTTAATTATTAAACAATATTTTGTACAAAAATATAATATCACGGCGGTACTATTCTCGTATAAACATCTGATGGACATCATCAATTGGTAATCCATTTGTCGTCCATCTGCTCATTTAGATTTCGTAAAATGAAATCTGTTCGTTGTAACCGACCGGATTTTATCCTTGTTGATGATAAGCTCTTGTCACGTACAATTTGCGGTGGCGATGCCGGTAACGGCAACGGTTATGACAACAAATACAAGTAGAGTGTAAAGCGAGCGAATTTCATGTGCTTTAAAAATGAATTGTTTCGAATGATATTTGTGAGGAAGAAAGAAGACAGTGCTTCCTCATCTGTTAACTTTTAATCTCATCTTTCTTTCTTGCATTCCTTCAACCTTTCTGTCGGAAAGAAAAAAAAAAGCTTTGCAAAGTTTGCATTTCTTATTCTATGCGTAGGGAGCTCCTTTACATTGTTTTATTTACTATATCTTTCTTTTTTGTTCCGCCTGTATTTTGCGCCACTTCCGTCCTGGTTAAGGACGAATTAAAATTAACAGAATGGCAAAGTTTATCGGGTTAATTCTACGTTTCTTAATTCTACTGTGTTAATTCTACTCTTTCAAGTCACGTGATAAGTTAAGTAATAAGGAGGTTGTATGATATAGAATAATTTAAAATCCAATTTAATTAAAAGTTATCATTCATTCTCTTGAAATCTCTATCCATAGATCATACTCTATACCAGTGCAAAAATATAACAATAAAATCTTTATCTTGTGAATATTTCTGACAAGAAAATTTTATGCTTCAAATTTTTAATTGGATGGTTTATACATCAGTTGTAAACTTCACACCTTTTAAGTCTTAACTAAAATCTTCAGAATATTTTTCCACTGTTTTCTTTGCACATGCAAATCGTCAAACTGGAAGCAAACAAAGTGATCGCTGTAGTAGAAATCATTAAGTTGTGAATGCAAATTCATACTACTATCTTATCAGCATCCGTCCTTCCCAGTTTTTGACCTGAGCTTACCCTCATTTCACACTTTTTATCACAGATCTTATCGGAATATACCTACTTCTACTCTTCGATTAAGTTGCAGTGCGTGAAACTGACCTACCGACTATTTTCCATCCATTTCCGCCCCAAGCCCTCCTCTACCAACAATACCCGAGTAGGTAGTTCCCAGAGGTAGAAGCTATCAGTCGGAAAAGGAGGAGCGGTGCTATCACTTTTTTATTTCTCATCTAAGCAGAAATTAGCAATTTTTCGATTTAGTTTCACTTTCTTTTTGAGAGATGAATTAAAAGGGAGTGGAAATGATGAGGCGCAGAAGGAGAGCAATTCGGTAGTGTGTAAAGAGCATTTCTTTTATAGATTAAATGATCATTCTTTTTTCTTTGTTTGTAATAAGTGTAATTTCGAGAGAAAGAAGGCGAGAGTAGAAAGGAATCTTTCAATGCGTATCTTAATGCCACTCTCGAAGTGTGCGAAAATGTCGTCGTCCACGGTTCGTTTCTCTTGCGATCTCTCTTCTTCCATCACTCCATTAGTTGTGTTGTTTGTTCCTTCTTGACATGTTAATTTTTTCAAAATTATTTTGTTTTCAACTTCAATCTCTTCCACTGCTATTTGTCACAATTTTTCCCATTATTCTATTGAAACACCTTAAAGTTCAAGAAAGGTAATGAAGGACTGTTCAAGGTTGAAGAATACTCCTGGTGATTGGTTAAATTTTTGGAGGTGGTGTAGTTATCTAAACAGGTATGAGAAGTGACTGGGTGAGCAGTATGATTAGGTGATTGTATTGTCAAAGATAAGTTAGTAACTGAATGAGAAGTCTGGTGCTCATTCAGTTAAAGTTATGATAATACGTAAGCACTTTCCAGTTCAAGATAATTGAGGAAGGAAAACAGATTATGTGGCTATGTTCATCTCAGGAATAGTTCCGGATTTTGAGCACCATTTCTGTCCCATATTCCAGAACTGATGGTTAAATATCCTAAATTCGAACAAAGCAATGAACTTATAAAGTTTGATTGCAATATGTATATGTGTGTTGTGGATTCTTCGACATCATGGAATCAATTCTTTGTTTTATACATATATGATAGAAAGTCTTTTCGAAATTTTAAATTATATTAAGAATATAAACAGCTTAAGTTCCATTCCTTTACTTTAAACTTATCTGTTCCTGATTCTTGTTTGACAGTTGGAACTTCACACCTGCACCGAACAGTTTTCTCTTAATTAGGTTCGGATTTTAAAAGATATGGTAAAGAGATGCTCTGCAAATGTTTCATTATTCCTCGCATAAGAAACTCTTACCTCTTTATAGGTCAACGAAGAGGTGAAAATGTGGTTTGAAGAACGAAGCTGGTCCAACCTGAAGATGTCATCAATGCTTGTAGAGGAGTGGCGCGATCTATGGCCCATCAAAATTGATGTGATTGTCGCATCGCTTGCGTATGTTTTCGCCACCACCAATTTTCTCAATCTACCCGGATTAATTCTGCAGAATGGCGGATGTAAGTTCGGTTTTCATGTGAAGTGACGAGAAGTGCAGGAGGAATTGTTTGTACTCAGGGATTAAAGTTGAGTTATCGATGTGTGCTAATGATGTGATCAGCTAGACATTTCACTTATGAGCAGTGGAAATGGTTGGCAGATATAAATAAATGAGTGTCCTGAAACAAACATCAGTAAAGGGAATGATAGAGTGTACGGATTATCATATCTGTTATAAAATACAAATAAGAAAGTATTGCGTGAGTACGTGTACGTGTACTATTTGTACGTCTAATAAAGTGAAAATTTCAGTAATGCTTTTTACTTTTTTTTTTCAGTAGCATTTATCGTAGCTTATGGTGCATCATTATTTGTATGTGTTTTACCAATTATTGTAATGGAATTTTCGGTTGGACAACTTACTGGACGAGCACCTATCGAAGCACTTCACAACATATGTCCACTTTTTAAAGGTAAATATGAGAGAGACCCCTCACAGCAACCTTTTACATTCCCTATTTCCGTGGGAGAATGTGTCACAGTGATGTGTGTATGACAGTGATATTTACAATGTCCAGCAAACAAATGACAAATGACAGTATGTCAATTGTTTGACGAGCTTGTTAGGTCAGTTTTAATTCCACTACAGTAATTTCCTATTAGTCATCCCAGGTTTTAGTCATTAGCAGCGATGTAAAATTAAATTTTTGTTAAAAGCGTTGAATGACCACCATGATCGATCAATTGCTTTGTTTTGCAGAGTGATCCATTTTAGTTTGAAAATGATAACCTTAGTTTTTTTTTATATAAACTGATAGTAAGCAGTACGAGTGCAGAAGACTTCGATCAATTATCATTGCTTATCTTTCAAAAAGCAGCTCTTATCAACCATCCTCATTTTCAGTTCAGGAATTTTAGTTGAATAACTTTATTGGACAGTAAAGCCTTTAAATTATTAGCGATTGTTTCAGGTGTTGGCGTCGCGCAGGTCATTTTTTCCCTGTTCATATTGGCACGTATGACACGATACCTGGCTTGGCTTATGCTTTACCTATTTCATCTCTTCTGGGCTATATTATCTGGACGACCAGGTCGTATATATAGCATTGCATTACACTTTTCACTGAAAATTTTTAACTTAAATTAATTTACGGATTTTATGACGTTCTATGTGTTATTTTTTTAGGACTACCATGGTTGCACTGTAGGAGTTTCCCCGAGCTTCAGACATTACCGTGCGAAGAAGCTGGTTCGGTAGCAAATTTGAGCTACGCTACTACAACAAAACTGAATACTTTAAGTGCACATTCCTCACTTGTTCAGTTTATGACGTACGTTTCCTCCTTCAAAGTAATTTCTGTGTTTGATTAATTTAAATAATTTAGTTGAGGATTGCAGGATGTTAGAACGACCATCGAGTAACATTGCTGAAACAGGCCATTTGCAGTATTACATTCTTGCTTCTATGGGAATCGTTTGGCTTCTGGTCTTTTTGGCCACTTTCTTTGGTGTCCGTTGGTTAGGAAAGGCAAGAATTTGGTGTTTAAAATTTTTGTTAAGTTATTTAAATAAGTGACAGATAGTTTTTGAATACGTATGCTTTTGCGACGGATAACATTTGCGGCCTTAAGTAACTGCTGCTATCTTACCTTCTGGTAGTCATCTACCATTCATTAGTAAATGGGAGCCGAATTGTCGTCGGTAGTTGTTAGTAATGTGCGGTCTGACTTATAAATTCCCGTTTTGGTGTTTAGCGGTGATTTCTTGTGCTTTAAAAAGAAGCTTTTTCTCAAGAACCTAAAATATTGTGTATTGGAATGCCAAACGAACATTAGTATTTGCATGGAAGTTGTGTTTAATTAAAGGTTAAAGGTTAATAATCATCATAGTGTCACAAAATGTTCATGTTTCCTGAGAGGAATATCAAAATTTTCATTGAATGATTGTAAAATCATTTCAGGTTATTCATTTTACCTTCATTATGCCTGTGGTTTTACTATGTTTACTTCTGGTGCGTGCTTTAACACTTCAAGGTCTTCCTGAAATATTGGTGAAATTTTATAAGACCACCGATTGGCAACGGATGACTGATTATCTCGTAATTTTTTGCTTTCATTTTTTTTTTCTTAATTAAGAGGAAAAAAAGAAAAAAAAAACTTTTTGTTTTGGTCTATAAAGTACGAAAGATATTTTGGAATTTACCTATCAAACTACAAATTGAGCATAATTGGAAGTTTGATATTCCTTGAACTTAATTAGTAAAATTATTTTCGAGTTGAGATGCTTTACAGAAATTCAGTTAACACCCAGAATTTTGTCTATGGAACAGCAAGCTGGGAATCCTTGAATCTGGGCACATAATTTATTGGCGGTAGTTATTGACACGTCCGTAAGAATTAGTGAAGTGAAGAAACGTTTGCACTAGTAAGACACTATATCACTTGTACGTGTACACGTCACTTCTTGTCCCATTTTCTTTATTATTATTAATTCAGCCTAGCATTAAAGATGTGGAAAGCGGCCATTGAGCAGGCTGTTTTTGCCACTGGAATTGGTTTTGGAACGTTTATTACAATCGCTTCATACAACAAGCGGACAAACAACCTTGTTGGGTGAGTACTGATAAACTGGTCTTCTTTTTCAAGTTTGACTGACTTTTAATTCTACTGTTGACCTTCGACTCTTGGTAGATCTCTCTCTGGTTCTATCCCATTTGGTTGGTGGTAATATTTCGTCCTTTATGAATAAACATCATTTAATCTTACTCTTTTTCTTGAATTATAAATGTATTACATTGAATATTTGTCACTTTTACGTGATCTGCTCTCTAGCTTTTAATTCGTAAAGTAGGATTAAATAGAAAAATCTGCTTGAGTCAAAATATTTCACTATTTATTTTTCATTGCTTCATTGTTTTACCTTTTTCTACGCTACACTTGTTTTATGTGTTTATGAATATCGGTCGCTTACTTTATTAACTGCTAGTTTTTCTTGCTTGACTTGTATTTTCTTGTTGTTTAATTTTGTTTTTTATATAATTCAAAAGAAAAAAATAAAAGGTAAGCAACAGTTTGTGTTATTTTGAAGTGATTAGCATGCAATGTTTTGTTAAATTTCAAAAATGAACATTTCTAGTGATGCATGGATAATCCTGTTTGGTCATATTGTGTTGACGCTGATACAGGTATTTACAATACTTGGATTTATTGGTCATTTATGTGTTCGACTTGGATTACAACCAATAGAGCTTCTCGATCGAGGTTCCTCCTTGGATTAAATTTGTTAATTCTCAAGTAAAATTCGTGGGATTTCAAATTTTCTTACAAAATTCATTTTTATGTCATTATCGTTGTAATCATAACGACTCAAATTTTTGTTATGCTTTTAAGATTTCAAATTATTCTGCAAGTGATTTTTGGCTGTCTACTTATAGCATTGAGCCATTTTTTTAGCCATCTTTTTAATTTTTAACTGAAGAAAGAGATTTTATAGGAGAAGCGCAAATGTGGCATATTCTTGCATATATGTCGTACGTACCGGATACACGTACATGGACTGCAATCCTTTTGTTTATGTGCATTTTCGTCTTACTCAACATTTTTGCAAGTTTCTATTATTATTTTCTTGTAAGCTGTCACTGTCTCATGTTTCAATGTCCGGTTTTTAGTCACACCGGTTTTGGAACATCCAGTTGATACGGATTTGTTAATGACTGGAAGAAATGACGTATATTTACACTCTTTCAGTATCTTCTCACTTTAAACATACTGGCAACATTTGAAGATGCATTCGGTGAGAATTCGTCTCGTTGCTTCCCCCGATTTGTACTTGACCTTTTCATCTGTTGCATTGCTTTTGCTGCCAGCTTTTATTTTGCTACGCAGGTAAGAAGGATTAAATGTCATTTCACGAGAAATTTCAATTAAAATTCAAATGCTCTGCAACCAATTTGTTTACTTTAATCCAAAAATGATACAAACAAATATGAGTAGCGAACAAGTTCAGAGAGTTCTTACTTATGTCACATCATAAATGTCTGATTCAACCTTGACAAGAGTTGGTGGAAACAAAGAGCCTAGTTGATGACTGGCATGATTCTGATAAACCATGCCCGTTTAAATTTCTCTGTACTACCACTAATTATTGAAGGATTAAGAAAAGGTGAAGGAAAATTTCAAACCATAAATAATTCCTTCAACCTCAAATCTCGGAATAGTTCAGTGGGATTTGATTTGACAGTCTTATAAGTTGGCTCGGTGAGATGCAGTGAACTGTTGACTATAAAAAAAATCTTTCAAATGGGATAATACTACTTTCAAAATTACTTCATCCATTTTCATTTCCCCTTCTGATAATGTATAGCCTGGGTCTGTTAACAAAACCTTATTTCTTCCAAAATTGTATTTTTAGAGTTTTTTTTAGCGTTTTCAATTTTGAAAACATTAACAAAACATTAAATTTTGGAGCAATTTGGAGATTATGGTTCAAGAATGAAAAGGAAAGGGGAACGATGATTTAAATGTCCAATTTTGAGATTAAAATTTTAAAATATATTTTTCTTCCTGATCGTATACATTTTTATAAATTTTGCTGTGATTTCAGGGCGGTCGCTATGCATATGAATTAGTTGATGGCTACTTGAGATACGTAACATTGTGGATTATATTGTTCTTTGAAATGTTGGCAGTTGGATGGTTCTATTGTAAGTTTTTAAAATCTATGTCCGAAGAAACATTCTTCAGAAATAAAAATCTGAGACTTCGCGGAAAGTTTTTTGAAGGTTATCGATTGCCTTGTAAATTGATAATTGGCAGGTTTTTAAAAAAAAGAAATATTACATGTGTCAATCAAATTTGTTAAGGCTGAAAAGTGTCCTTAGCAAAGCAAAGGTTCTGGCGTAAAATGGATTAGAATTATGATATCAAACAAATGTAGAATTAAGATCAAGATACTGGGACAGTCGTGATGGGTAAGCAGGTATTTATTATAGGTGCACATCGTCTTGGTAAAGATTTGCATGGGATGTTGCGACAAGCGTGCTGTTGGTGTCTTGGACATTTCATTCTCTATTTCATATATCTTTTGCCAGCCGTCCCTTTTGTAAGTTGTTTGGACTTTTGAATCGATTTAATTAATAGATTTTCTTTTCTTTTTTTTTTTTGCATTAAATACAGCATTTGATATCTTATTTTGACGCATTTAAATGTGAAAAATAAAGTATTAAAATTTGAAAATTTGCTGCTAAAGCGATAGCGTCTTGGAATGGAATAAAGAAGTAATGTTGATGTTTAGGTAGTAGCTACGCTAAATTTGATCCATTATGATTACTCGACTTATTCTTCTGGAATCCATGAATGGAAGTATTCGGAACTGCTTGGATGGGCAATAGCATTGATACCATTGCTTCCAATCCCATTGTTTATGCAATTCAAGATTTGCAGAACATGTATCAAAGGACCTGGAGTAACGAGGTGGCAGGTAAACGCCAAAAATTATTTCTTGTTTCAAAAGTTTGTATTTGAATCTTGTAATGGACTTTGTTTTTTTTATTCAAACTTCTCCATCATAATAATTAAAATTATTGAAATTTCTGTAGAGTTTTGGTCTAGAAACTTTAACTGCAGTTTATGAACCGTTGATAAGCTAAGAATCTAACTTTAATGGTTAGGAAAATTTTTGTTTGCCTACATATTTCAAATTTAGTTTCCAACACTACTCGACTCTTATGCTAATTACAGAAACTAAAAAATGCAATATCATCTCCTTTGTCTTATGAGGTTATTAAGCCACCACCATCATCAGCTATGCAGAGATATTCAAGCGATACACCTGGTTACATTCTTCTTCCGCAAGCTCCGCTTGCTGAACCGGAAGTTTTCAATGAGGTAATGAGAATTGAGAATCAAATCTAAATATCTGAACTCTAAATATATAAGTTAAGACCAAAAAGTTAAAAGTGGTATTCAAATTTAACCCAACAATATCGCTTGCAGTGCAGTAGACATTACCTAGCTCTTCATTTTTTATATTTCAACTATAATTTTTAATTGGTACTTCAGAATCGATGATAAGCAGAATGAGCACGACTCTCAACAATTACCAATCATATGCTATATTATGTGCCAAGATATCTCAGAACTGCCAAAGTTATTTTCTGCTACATTTCCCTGTTCATTATACTGTTTTGTTGTAAATAATTGTGTTTATAATGTGCTTAATTCCAATTTTGTAAGTGTTGTGAATATACACCAGTCAATTTCTCTGGAAATGTTCGAGAAACTGCTCTCACAAACCATTTTCTTCTCGACGATACAAAGTCGTATTGCCAAATCTTCAAGATTTCCAAAACATTTACGTATTGCCAATACCAATACTCATGCCTCAATGTGGACAATTTACCACTTTGTTTCAATCTACTTCTTGATATTGTACCATAGGAAATGCACTTCACTACCACTTTCTTAAATTCCAACTTGTTTGAATATCGATTGTAGTAGAATATAAAACACTCCCAACATATGCCAATCTTTATTTACCTCCTTTTTCTGTAGTACCTACTTAATTTAGTGAAAATGAACATTTGTAAGGAAAACAATCTTAGAGTGCCTGCACTGGAATATGAAAGTTTCTTATTGACTTTTAAAAAGTTGTCCATGAGGTCTCCCGATGTAAGTTGTTCATGAGAATCTCATTTGTCCAATAAAAACGAATGAATGAGAATACCAGAAAGAACCGATAAAAGCACTTATCCTCTAACTACTAGCATATATGCAGTCAAACCACTAGGAAATATCCATTCGCTTCATAGAAAGGATTATAAAATGATAAGCGATAAGCATTCCTCAAGGACCTATTTGTTATCAGCCGCAATTATCTGCTCAGCAATTATCACAGTGACTTCCTTTAAATGCTACAATTGTACTATTGTGAAGACTTCCATCTAACAAGACCAACAATTACAATCCAAAAGTAGTGGAACAATTTAGTAAGGAGATTTACAAAATCAAACAAGAAGTAGCCTAGACAATAATAAGGGGTCATAGTGTCTCAGACATTCTATAGCGTTTTTATTACGCCTCTGATGCAATCGCCTTAGGAACGGATTACTTTGTTATGAAAGAGAAAAGACATAAAATTCTCTCCTCCCTACATTTTTTCGTTCTTGGGCTATATTTAGTTCTGGACTGATGGAAAATGACTTGTATGAATGTAAGTATTCATATGAAGACAGCACTGAAATATATACAAATTTCAACAAGGAGGAACACTATGCTTCTCCAAAACAAGAGATCTGCAAGCAATAATACGAAATTACATATAAAGAGCACCAGATTCATTTGGGTCGAATATCTGCGGTGCAGTATGATAAAGATATTGAAGCACAGGTATACACTGCGGTTCGTTTTTCACAATCGCAACAACCGTTCGAAAAACACCAACTGTTTTATTGTATAACCAAGTCCCATTTTCGCCTGCCTTCAATCCTTCCTGTAATAAAATCCTATGCTTTCAACATTTAGGAGAACAAAAATGAATAAAAACAATGGAGTCTATTCTTATGAAAAGAAAAATTTTTTACTTAGCGAGGCAAATTTCAAGACATTTGTTTCAAGAGAAATATTTTTTTTGAAATACTACAGTATTGATATCAGTGATAAAATTCCATGTCACACTGCTTCCACTTGTTTATTTTAAAAGAAATGGATACTGCTGCCAAGAATGCTTTATCCCTTATGCACTGCTTCCAATACTGTAAAGGAAGCAGTCCCATCAGATTAAATCAAACCTTATCTTTCTCTCGAACCTTTCTTAATCAAAATTTCCCAGTTTCTATTAAATACCACTTTAAGATCTAAACAGAACGATCATGCTCTTCCTTGTCCTTCACTAACAGACTCAGTAACATATGTACATCTCCAGATTTCACATTCCTACAATTATAATTTTAAAAAGAGATGAATTTTCAGTGAATAATATCAACGAGCGATATCCTTCTTTAGATGAATAAAACTGATCTATGTACTCTTTTGCCCTTCATAATTGAAAATGAACTAACGTTTATCATGGCCAAAAAATAAGTCGTAAATTCATTTACTCCACTACGTAATTGAACTGGAATCTTTGGCAATAATGCATCCAGACTTCTAAAGTTTTTCTTGTTGGTTACCAAAGTTACAGTTTATAAATCAAACAATACATAATTCAAATGAAATGTAAAATGACTAAATAAATTATAGGGTGAAGAATAAACAAGTATTAAAAATTAAGTTGATAAATGCATTCTAAATAATAACATACAAAAGCTAAACCTTTTAATAAAAGTGACTTTCTGAGCTGTATTACTATCCATAGCTCTCAACTGAAATGCTGCCATATAAACTGGATCGGCAAAAATTGGTTGCAAAGCTTCAGTTGCGTTAGCTGAAACAAGTATTTCGACAGAAATTTGGATAAAGATTCGGATATGTATTTACTCTCCTATCCAAAACTGAAACGATCTAAATGGAAATATGCGTATAGAAGCATTTTGAAAAATTGTGCATCTTTTGTTAATGCTAAAACTGTAGGTAAAAGAAATACGTAACAAGACAAACTGCAAACATTCTTGAAACGAGATTGAAACAGGAAATGAAGCATCAGTAAACAGTAAGGTTATTATGCTATCATTGTTTTCCTTGGTAGTCTGAATTCAGGTAGTGTGATAGAAAAATCACAGGATGACAGAAAAAGAAGATGAGAAAAATTTCTGTTCGAGTAACACGTCAGCAATTTATAGCTAACGTGATATAAATTGTTGCTTAGCATCTAACCTTGTTCATGTAATAAAACCATGTTCGCCTGTGTTTGCTCCATTAAATTGCCATACACTCCTCTGGTCGGATTCACCTTCTCTCGTTCGTAATCTTCCCAAGCTTCTTTACATTCCTGGAATGATTTCAAACTTACCACTTGGTTTTCTAAAAAGTTACGGGGACCTTGTAAGTGAAAAGAGAATATCTCAAACAAAAAAGATCTCCAGAAATTCTTTACATGAAAACAGACTGATGTCATAATAGCATTGACGTCCCAATAATTACGGCGATTTTATAAAGATAAAACGGAAAAATAATAGATCTTGACAAATGCCGTACGAAACATCACTAATATAAAAAAAGGCAGGAAACGTTATGTCTAAAACCAGTGATAAGATTCTGAGTTCTTCTATAATGTCCGAGAGTTGTGAAGGAGATCACATATTATGTTAGCAATAACAGTTTCCACTTCCGCCTTTTATTTTTCTTTGGATTCCGCTTCATTTGTATTGTTAACCTGGGGAACAAACGTCTCACAGACTCCTCAGTCTTTTGAATTAGAACTGAATAGTGAGACTAAACAATCTGAGTATAAAATATTTGATATGTAATATAAATGACCCACTTCAAATTAAAAAGTCACACTAAACGAATCTGATAAAGAATGAAGGAAAAATACAAGAATACTTTTTTCAAATCTATAATTTCAATAAACTGGGTAATATTCGAAAAAATACGAAATAAAAATTTTTCCTCTTAGAATTTGTGCACTTCAGCAACTGTATAAGAAATTTGAACATAAAACAAAGGAATAAAGTAAAATAACTTTCACCTGCTCGGTAAGTTTTTCTTCCTCCAAATTCTTGAATAAAGAATCATGCTGGATGTAATCCACAATGCAGTCACTGTGCGATAAAATGATATCCGCCAATAAGCGATCCTGGACATTCACAAAAATTACTTTTCTGTCAAATTTCTATCTAAAAGAAACAAAAAAAATAGTAGATGTAGAGCCACTTATATTTTTTGGAAAGCGAATGTTCTATTCCTAGAAAATATTCTTAGAATCTAATTCTGAGAAATTACTCATCCAGTCGTGGAAAAGCTTACTTTTGGCGGTGCCATTAACGGCCTTTTTGCTGCGTTTTGCGTATCGTTTAATTCATCTGGATCAAATTTGTACAATTCCAGTAAGTCATGACCAGCAAAATGTCGTTCAATTTGGGCCTCATCCACAACACGCATCGATGTCGACTCTTTGGTAACTTGACGTTTGTAAATTCGCTCTTCCATTGTTCCCTGAAATATGAATATGAACAACGATATTTCACTAGACAGCAGAATTGGATGTGAAATTTTTTGAATGGATGCAAAAAGATATCATATCATATATGCAGAGGCTATAGGCTTTGAAGAGAAACTATTTGTAAAGAATAGTATTGAATGAAGCGTTTCAAATTCCAATATTTGCAATCTTGATGGACATCTTTGAGAATTAAGAAGTTAGCTAAATTCAAAAATTCAACAAAAAATGCTGAATAATACTTCAGTAAAAGAAATCAAAGAAATCAAAAGCAGCTACCTGCGCAATGAATCGATAGATGTACACGGGTTTTGTCTGTCCAAATCTATAAACACGAAACAAAGACTGTGTGTCATGTGATGGATTCCAGCAAGCGTCAAAGATAACAACTCGATTTGCAGCAACCATATTGGTCCCCAATGAACCAGCACGTGTAGAAATAAGCATCAAACGGGAACTACAAAAAAAGTTGAAATTAAAATTGAAGAATATCTCAGTTCGTAGTAGACGGGATATTATGTTGAAGACTTGTTTTAAATCAGCGTTTTACTTTTCAATCACCAAACAAAGCAAAGAGGAATGTTACTCTTTTAGTTGTGTTTATTACTATACACAAACAAAGTGAAATTCAATTAATATACAGGAAAAAAAAGAAATTCCTTTATATATGTGTTAAAAATTAAAAATTGCTTCAATGTACCGTAAATTATTTGGATCATTGAATTTTGTTTGTATTTCATGTCGTTTGCTGGTTTGTACTTGTCCATCAATCACCTAAATATTTAGGAATTATTTAAAAAAAAAAAAACATAAACCTATCATCGACGGCCTGAAAATTCACTACAATATAACAAACAAACGAAAGCTAGTAAAATGACCACTGGTAACGTGGTCACTTGCTAGTTAAACGGAATGATGTACTGATGGCTAGAATGATTAACCGCACAAAATTATCGGTGGAAGCATTACATTCAATATTCAATCATAACTGAACGTTAGTTAATGAAGCAACAAAACTATATCCAATACCAAACAAACCGATTACCAATTACAATTTCTCAAAGACTACAAACCATATAATCGCGGCCTTCTTTCCAACCCCAAGTTTCATTTGCAGCTTTCATTGCTTCATGGCCATCCGTAAACCACACACCATTCTCATCCATATATTGCAACATCCGTTTAATTAACGAAATTGATTCAATACTTTGTGAGAATACTAACCTAAATTTGAACGACATAAAATGAAAATCCTGCTAGAAAAGTCATCCTGATTTTCATCTAGTAACAACAGCAGTACAAACAAATTACTAAAGAGAAGGAAGAAAAATTTTAACATGTATCTATCTATATGTGATATAACATGCTGAAATAACTGTGCATAGAATTGGCATTATCGAAGAACGTAGAAGTTCTGTGATATCCAAAAGATTAAAAAACTTACAATTTATCCCCAATTTCTTCACTTTTTTTAATAATTTCAACCAGCAACATGAGTTTATTACTAAGCGAAAAATCGTTTCGGTCCGCTTCCGTGACTAGACCTGTTTTAGCAAACCATCCTTCATATTCCGGCATAATTTCCTTTCCGTCCTCTGCATCTTGACCAGCCAGTCGACGTGACTTCCGCGCTGATACCGCTGGTTTACTGCTTGTTTCAGGCTGATCATTGTTATCTCTAAAAAAATATTTTGTAGTAATTCCATTGATAAAAAATTAAAAGATAAGACACTAATATCGAACTTAACATGTCTTAAAGATCTGTTCGCTTTTCAAAAGCATAATAATAGGCTTTTTTATTTCCGCCATTCGCTCCAAAAAGCTTTTTCCAATAAATTGGTGTCTGAAAAAAAAGGAAGAAAACTTAAGGAAAAACTACATTTCTCATTATTTCATTCCTTTTGCAGTTGAAACTCACAAAGGAATAATATCATCGTCTGAATCAACTTCCGATAGTGTTTCGCTTTCATCGTCGTCTATGAAATCCGCCATTTCATCCCTATCATCCTCCCAAAGACGCTATAAATAATAACTTCTGTGGACAATTGTTATGGAAATAACTGAAACATTCATTGAAAGCTTTACAATTAAAGCGTTTACTTTCATAAATTCGTATGAATATTACTCGCGAAGTCTTACAAAGAAAACACCTTTTTCTCAAGTTCAATTTGATGAGCAACAAGTTGGTACGGATGAGTCCAAATACGTGACAGCACATGATAGTCGGGAAGCAGTCGCCTGCTTAATAGGATACCTTCTGGACCAATACTATCAAGAAATGCACGGTAAAGCGATATCTGCCTAGGTGTCAAACGAACATTTACCACATATTCTTGTTTCGGAGGAATAGCTTCTGTCAATACTCGGTAATCCTTACGCTAAAAATGCAAAGTATGCCATTATTTTCAAAAATTATCAGTTTTGGGAGCTTCATATCTGGCTATGCTTCAGATGGTGACATCTGTAGTGGAAATGGTAATACATGAAAAGCAGTGAAAACAAATGGTAATACATGATCATGCTTTCAACTCAACATCTTAAAAAAAAAGAAAACCATAATAACATTTGAGTAAACTTACATCGACAACATTTTTAAGATGTTCATATAGAACGTGACAACGCTTCTTCATACGACGAACTTCTACTGCTGTTGCATCTTTAGTTCTACCACGATTAATGATATTTGCGAAACGATTTGCAAATTCTGCTTTGGTACCCAGTAACCCTGGTTTGACAAAATTTACCATGCAATGATCTATAAAAAAATAAAAGATCCGATTTAAGAAGTTAAGCTAACTTAAGTGTGGTAATACCTTATATCTGATTGCTACAGAACTGGTTTAAGCTAGCATTGTCCCTGTTCATATAACAAAATTTAAAAACTACTAATTCGTCCCTTCATAATCAAAACTGTTTGCTCTCAAATTTATAATTTTAACTGACTTCATTACATCTTTTTTATTGGATCGAGACAGCAATAAAAGAATTTTGGAATGTTTTCTAACGAACATCCCAAAAGCTTACATTCCATAAGATTATTCTGAAGTGGTGTGCCGGTCAAACACAATCGTCGTTTTGTACGAATTTTTAGCATGGTCTTTGCAAGAGCTGAATCGTCATTTTTCAATTTATGAGCCTCGTCACAAATAATCAAATCTGGGCCTAAATTTTCAAATTTTAAATATAAAAAAATTATGAAAACATGAATCAGTAAGAAATTAGTATACTCACAATTATTTTGCTTCGAGTTAGGATCACATTGCTCAAGAAATTATTTAGAAAGCAAGAACGGCTTCAATTCTGAATTATTACTAGAAAAGAGAGCTACCGGGATCTTGAAGGAACTTCCGAAAATCTGGCTGCAATTTAGCCAATCTTTTATTCTTCGTTTTCTTCATTCCATCAATTCTTTTCTTACCCTGAAAATTTATTCAATTCTAAATTTACTGAATAACTCCATGTAGACACCGAGACCCCTTTTTCAATCTGTTTGAAATTGTTGCTCTTACCTTATCCTCATCGGCTTGTGTTAAGATCCTAAACATGTCATAACCAATGATCATTACAGATGGTTCGTCATTTTCGAACCAGTTTTGTAAAGCTAACCGTCTGCTAGTGTAGTCTTTTAAGGAATCCAATTCCATAACCTAAAAAAAAGAGGTTCTATTTGAAAAAATGGTGAAACAGTAATTAAGATACAAAATCCTCTGCATGTTCCTATTAATCTTGTAATTCATTCTTGCAATTAATTTTCTCCTACAAAACGATGGAAGGAAGGCAAACAGAAAGCAGGAGATGTGTAGAAAAATAAGAACTCTTCAACTTTAGACAAAAGATAGGAAGTCTAGAAACCGGAGTGACTGATAAGTATGAAAAGATGATAGTCTCTCATGTTTTTTTTTTTTTTTACTCATTATCGCCTTTTTTCCCTTGTTACCTAAATATCCGACTTTTACCTACTCACTTAGAATACCTCATTAATTTCTAGACTTCAAGGAACCCAAGCGATCTGAAACCACATCTTTTTCATGAGCAACATGAGCAACACAAAAGTGACTTTATAATTATCAAATTTTTTCTTAAATCAAACTTCGAAATCGGTCCAAAAAAACTAATAACAATAACATTAATCGTGGCCAAATCTCTGTCGATATTTTCATTATCAAGCCATTTCTCGAATTCATTGTACCAATTTAATACGACATTTTTCGGCACAATAATTAAGATACGTTTGATATAATCACGTAACTTTGAGTGCATCATTACAGTGTGTAGGAAAGCGATCACCTAAAACAGGAATTCATTCAAATAAAACATAATATTATTTGTGATGGAAATTTGAGATATGTTTCATACACAACTGTTATTATCATCTCAACAAATATGTAAGTCCATTTGAATGATTAGATTGATAATGTTCTGAAATTCATTCAAAAGATTTCTAGGTCACGCTTGAACTATACGGCTCGCGTTACCGATGAGCAAGAAACTGCATAGGGTAATTAGTAGTTTATAATGACTTTAAAAATAAGAAAAATCTAAGGAACGTGAACTACTCTGAAATAAAATTTTTCTAATATGTACTTTCGAAAAATAATTGTGCGATTGAAATATTTCGAAAATAACACATTAAGCAAGTTGCTTGAAAGTGTTCTAAAACTCGGCCTATTTTAATGTTTTAATCATCATTAAGTTCACCACAGAAATGATAATAACCTGTAACGTTTTACCCAAGCCCATGCAATGAGCAAGGATACCACCACCGCCATCTTGATCCAATCGTTCCAATGATTCGATGGAACTATCATATAAAAATTGGATACCCTTAGCTTGATGTGGCTTCAAGAAAGTGACCAATGATGGATGTACGGATACTGGACATGGTGGACTGCTTTTTTTATCAGGATCGAGGACAACACTTTTCAAACGTTGGTGTTTTGTGATTTGTGATGAAGAACTTAACGCAGTTGCCAAGTCAGGTCCATCAGCCAATTCAATTCCATTGAACTAAATTATTTTAAACATCAGAAATCAAATACAAAAGTAAATTATCAATAACTGATTATCAATCTCTTTACATCAAAGCTCTCTAACACAAATCCTTATTGCATATTATTTCTCGTTAGATAAAAATAAAGAAAGCTAACATTCGTCTATTGAAACTTTTCAAGTATAGTAAAATTTTCTTTAAATTTTTCTTTTCCTTTTTTAAATTTCTTTTGCTCATACAATTTCTGAAACAAATAGTAACATTAGTTAAAAGGCAAATAAAAAATCTAAAGTAACAAAATGAATTTAAAATTTAAGAACTGAAAATAAAGGTTCATAGATGACCTATATGCTTTCCATTTTAAGGAACCTGATTTCAATAACGAATGATACAAAATTATGCTAAGGTGAGATGTCGGAACAAACATAAACCTCTTTTTGTTTTGCTTCCAAACGTTTCCTTCGCTCTTTTTCTGCAAATTCAGCATCGATAGTATCCTTTTGTAATTGCTCTTTAGTCATAATTTTCCGAGCGCCTCTCTTGTTTGACAACTTTTTGTCCATTTCATCATTTTCTTCATCTTCTGATATGTTGTCATCATCCTCATCACCATCATCATCATCATCAATGCGAACACGCTTTCGTATCAATCTGTAAATATCAGAATTTCCTTATAATATGTACAAATTAATTTCCTGTATGAAATAAAAAATTTTGGACTTTTCATAAACTCTTTCTTTTATATTTCATAAAAATTAAAATATTTTCTTAAAACATATTTCATAAAAATAAAATGCAAAAGAAATAATAAATAAACAAACTTTGAACGCGTGTTCCTGCCTTTACGCGATGTTTTACCACTATTCTCATCAATCGAACTGGGCAGCTCAACACTACTATCAGTATCAATTATTTCAGAGATCATACTATCAACACCATCCGATTCCAGAGAATTAAAAGAAGCTTCCGAATCCGAAGAATGTATTTGTTTTCTCCTTGAAAGAAGATGACTAAGAACATAGCTAACAATTTCAGAATAAATCGCAAAATTAAGATAGCAAACTGGTCAAGGATTTATGAGAAAATGAACAAAATGAATTACTTAAAAATTCATCCATTTTTTACCAGTAGAAAATGGCATTTGATGAGCACTCTGTGAATAATCCTTACTTTCTATTTTCTTTTATTCTATCCTCTTCAACACCTTTGATGTCTTCTTTCGCTTTTTTTTCCTCCTTATCACCATCGGTTGATTCCACTTCGCTATCACTTAACACTAAACGCTTGCTTAGAAGACGATCTTTTCTGAGATTCTCACTCTAAGAAAAGGTAATATTAGAAAAAAAAGTATTACAATGAATGTTTCATCAATTCTTTCCTCTAAGAAATTATAACCAGGACGTCATAACGCTACTTCTGTAATGTTGAAATATCACCAAACACACGACTACAAAACATTGTTTTAGTCAACTATTTCCAAACGCTAAAGATTACACTACTACTTCCGTTCTAACCAATAAATGACAATCTAAAACAACAGTATAATCATGTGCTTCAGGGAGTAATGCTGAAGTAGCAGCACTTCCTTATTGAAAGGTAACTTAGTTGAAATTGCTTCAAGCAATCAATTGTAATTCCAGAACATATATTTTGTCCATTTAAATATCTGAACTAGAACAGAAAAGTCACGTACCGCTTAAGCTTCGTAGAACATTTATAATTATTTTGAAAAACGTTACAAAAAATCAATGTAATGCAGTAGACAGCAAGGTTAATTAGACCAAAAAAAGTTAGAGTTAGTAGAGTTAGTGCAAATTTATTTTTTATATGCAGTATGACGCAGGATAAGTACATCTATAAGATTTAAGCAATAGGTAATCCACTTCTTCCGACCACTTAATAAGATTCAAATACTTGCTGCCAAGTTTCAAAAACATCCTTACAATATCAAAATGGTTGTGAAAATCTTTCTGACCCTTCCTGAACTAATGCCTTTTCTACCTTCATGGATAGTCAGCTAAATAGTTGTCTTCTTATAAGACAATGCTGTATTAAAAACAAATAACAAACCATTTTTGGTATGTCATCATCATTTAAAGTTTCTCGTTTGACGCAAGTGGAAATGTCTGAATTGTATGCTAACCTGAAAATTTTAACTATTCACTGGATTCATCTAAAGTTAAAAAAGAATACCTAATAATTTTTGATAGAAAGTCGATGATTTTTAAAAGTTTTTTAGGAAAAAAAAATTCAAAGAGCAAAGATTTTACTTACTTATTCTCACTCATAGTAGCACTTTGCTTCGGCTCATCAGTGCTTATACCACTATCATAAACTTTTCTGCATTTAATTTGTGACGCAGAACAAGGTGTCATTTCCTTGCCTTCCTTGAATTCTTCCTTTTCTGCATCATCCTTAAAAATAAAGGATTATAAAGCTAACTAGCTACTCACAAATAGTTAGACTATCTACAAATTAATAGCTGACGTTAAGATTTGGGTAATCTAAGACGATGACAAAAACAATAAACATATTCTTAATGAATTACTGAATATTCTATTTATATATTACAAATGTTTGTGCTTATTGCCCTTTACTCAAAAGGCATTCCATCTCTAAACTGCATATAAAAAGAAGCTATTTCATTAAAAAGAAAAAAAAATAAATATGAATGAACTTAACACCGCTATCTTTTTATGATAGGTTTATCAACAAGCAATGGAGAAAAGCAAGCAAAATATAGTAAGGCAGCTTAGACGATATAACTTAACACTAGCCATGATCGATACAAATGTTTTTGCTTATTTTTAGCACTTTTTATCACTAAACCTACTTCACTATGATCTGTCTCAATATAGTCGTACTCCTGCGCATTCCCACTCTTAGCACTGTGTGTGGAATTATTGTATGTGTATGATTTGTAGTTTTTTGTCTTCTGTCTTTCATTTGCGAGTAATACGGTACCACTTCTCAATAAGAAATCGATTTCAGAATCCGATCCATCGGAATCAATCACTTCATCCACTTTCTCACTGGTGGTCTGAAATACAGTGATCACTTGATCATTAAGCTGACGGATAGTATTCTTCAATAAATTCAATACTTGTAAAATAACAAATTTCTAAATTCAATTTTTTTTTTTTTTTTTTTTTAAAAATTCTATGTTCCCTAGCAAAATCTTAATAGAATGTAAGATCAAATATACCTTCTGTAGGGAATCCATTATCGCCCTTAGCTCTGGATCCTTATCACATTGGATCACTTCGACATATGATGGATAAACACCATATTGTTTTAAAGCCTGCAACAATCGGCTTACATCTTTATGAACAAATAACTGATTTTAGCATTTGTAACTATGTGGTTGTTTATTTCACTTTTTATCATTAGCACAATTATTACTTCCACTGCATGTTTAAAAAGTTATATAATGCATAAACGCGATATTATATTAAGTATAGAATACAATCAACCTCAGTCTTTTTGAACTGTTCTTCTCAGTTTAAATCTAACACTTGCGCAATGTGTATACCCATGGTCACATCGATGAAAATTAGATAAAAAAAACCATCACTGTCATCAAATAGTCTTACATAACTATTGTTTTGGAGAACTATGCATTATATTTACAGCTTATCCTAAACCAATTTTTACTATTTATTCACTTCCATTATAGCTTACTTCAAAATCTTTTTCGGTGAAATCTTCAGCACCAATAAAATCCACATGTTGCTTTTCTGCTTCTTTCCCATCTGTAAATAAAGAATTTACTGAATCCAGGTTGCAACTCAATAACAATAATTCCTTCATCTACAAGTGAGTATTTTCTCAACAATTCATGAGTAGAAGAGACTTTTAAATGAATTTTTATCGACAAAACAAAAAGAAATCAACCTTCATCGCAGGTTTCTTGTCCTGAGTCTTCTCGAAAAGATTTCGATAAATCACACCGGTCAATAACTTCAGTAGTGTTAGTATCCTCCAATGATACCTGCATATTTCCATTTACTTGAAGCTATTGGAAGCAATTCAAGTAATAATTCTGTACCAAATATAATAAAATGGTATCTTAAACAATCAAGAAATATAAATTCATCATAAACCGATGGATCCAGACAGAACCAACCAGTTTTCTTCGCAACTGTCAATTTGCTTTTCATTAATCCGAATAGGCATTCATCTATATATAATATACACTACAAATATTTGAAGTAATAAAAACAATTGTTAGGTAAGTGGCGGCTTTCCATTTAATTGGATAAGTGTAAAAATTTAAATAATTTAGTGCAAATCCCACAGTTCTTAGCTTAAAGCTTTTGATAACTGCTCTTTATAACTTGGCAAACTGGCAATAAACTCTCGATCACGTTTGGGTTGAAAATTCAAATATCAGAAGAACTTGATAAAAATAAAGTTAGTCCAAGAACTCTGACTAGAAACAGTACATGTATTGGAAAAATATGCATTTTGTCAGACTTGACCGAGTTAAATGATCTCAAAATTTATTAGTCAAGAAGAAGTAGAAAAAAGATTGAAAAATTACGTGGATTTGGTGCAAATCACCGACACTAAGCAAGAGCAACTAGACGAAAGAAAAGTATGTATTGATCACAAGTTCCCATTGGATCGAATTTCATAGCTCGATTGCAGTGTATTTTAGACGCAGTGCAACATGTAAAATATCGACTGAACTATGATAACTATTTGTTAGTAAGGTAAATAATCTAAAGAAGTCTGATAATAACTGATAGGTGCTTTATCCAATTAAGGTAGAAATATATGTCAAGGAATTTCCTCCTAAAAAGGTTAACGAATTGCTAGTCTTGATTTAAGCGCTTGTTTCTCATCGATTTATCATTTGTCATAAATGATTTCAAAATCACATTACAGCTATATTTTTACTATCTTCATACCTCGAAGAATATATCTTGAGGCAAAACGATTCCACGTTAATTCCACATCTCATGAGCAAACAAATTTTATAAATGATTATTTTGCAAAAGGAGCAATAAACAAGTGTTTTGCTTTACCCCTTTAAATGACAGAAAAAACCAATCTAAGGATCTTTTATAGATACTACACTAACTTAAATGATAAATCATTCGGCAAAAAAAAAAAGGAAAAAAAAATCAGATTTTAAGAATTTAAAATTTTTTTATAAAAATAAGAAAGATATTCAAATATTTCTCAGACAGATTTAAACGAAATGAAGTAAGTTACAAACGAAAATTTTTGAATTCCTTACCAATTCCATTACTTCATCGTTGCCTAGCGTTTCTGAATTATCTGATTTATCTTTGTTTTGTTCAGTATTTCCTTTCGTATTTTCGACATCTTCAATGTCCTCGTCAGTTTTCTTACTAATATCACTATGCAACGAATCACATTTCATTCCCATTTTCTCATCACATCCAACACTTGATTTGTCAACTTCATCGCTACATCTTTCTTTATCGGAATTCAACACCGCAACATCCCAGCTATTTGTAACGGATTCCACCCTATTCCAAGATAAATGTGTTTTTGTTTTTGCTATACATCATGATTTAAGAATAGTTTACGCTTACGCTTACTTGTGATCACATGAATAATACAGCGATATAGGGGGCACATGAGATATATCGGTTGGGAAAGATGCTTAGAAAATTTTAAAAAGCAGAGTTGTTGAATTTAGTTGAATTCTAAACATTCACTCTTCACAATATATGACCATCGACCATTCTTCCATGGCAAAACACAATTAAAATCAAATGTCACTTTTTCAATTCATTATATTTCGCATTTTTTGAATATATTCCGCAAATGTAAACCAATTCACAAATAAAAAAAGTTTATTTGTTAACTTTTAATTTTTTAATCAGAGAAACTAAACTAAAAACCTGCTGCAGTTATTGCTGAAATAGTTATTTGCTACATCATTCCGTGAGCTTTTCAGTGTTTCTATAATTGTATCCATCTGCTGGATAAAAGACTTCGTATGTTCCTGGAGAATAATCGTACAATCCTCTGAATGATCTCCATTGGCATATGTAAATAATATTTGACGAGCCTGTAAATTCTTCATTAAAATACGAATGAATTAAATAAAAAATTGCCAGAAAAAGTGAAATATTTGATCTTTATGATGACTTGGAAATACTCGTAAAATATTAGGTTTAAACTAGAAGTTGTGAAAAAATGCTTCAATTAGAACCATAACAGATAAATTAAAGATTAGACGATTTGTGTAAAATATGTAAGTTACAAAAAAAAAAGAAGGAAAGACACAACGAATATTAGCATTGTTGAAGGAACCGAACCATACTGATATTTTCTGAAGCTACATTAATATGAATTCTTTTAATAACTTAACCAATGGACAAAACGAAACAAATATTAAATGATTATAATGTTAGTCCTTTCCAAAGTGTTTACATCTAACTTATCAGAGTACAATTGCATCATTTAAAGTGCAGTGTTTATTGAAGTTTCGAATAGTTACGACATCAATTTACACTAGAAACATCAACGTAGCTCTAATATTCCGGGCACTGCGTTTTAAAAATTGATTGGAAATGATTCGGAGGCCAGTGAATATTTAAGTAAGTTTAGATATTGTCTTACAATATAAAAGAATTTATATACTCAAATACTTCCATGTTATATAGTCCTCTTTTAGAAATCAAACTTATCACTCTTATTATTTAAAAAAACCATAAGTTTGAAAACGATATAATATCAAAGTGTTTGGAACATAAATTTTGATCCTCTTTAGTAGATAATGAAGCACCAAACATTCATGTATCACATAAGGTATAAAATATATGTAAAACCATATAAAAAAGAAAAAGGGAAAATTATAATTGGACGAATTTCCGGATTCCTAGAAATGATTCGATTTTGGAAGCACACTACGTAGAACTGAATAGATATATGCAGCACAGATCTCAGAACTACATTTTTGATTTATCTGCAAATAACACGTGAACACGGCTACATTATGAACGCCATTACACAGCCACTCTTCTTTTCAAACACATCATCTTAGAGGCTAGGCTGTTTATGAAAAAAAAAGAAAAAAAGAAAAAAAAAACGTTTATGCAAAGAATGTTAGCAGGTTGATCTTTCATTCCCTACAATAAATGACATGTATTATCACCAAATTTTGATTCCACTATGTTTTCCAAATGGAACTTCTTATAAAAACAATTCCCTTTCATTCCGCATTCGTATGGAAACAAATGACAGAAAATTGAATTCAAGACGGGAGGAAACACGAAAATGAAACAGAATTAAAAACGATACTATCTTCTCAAAAATTTAAATATTTTTAATGACTTGGGAGTAATTAAATATAAACAGCGACTACTGCTAACCTTAGTTAATTGGTCCAAATTATTAGTAAGTGTCGAACTAATTAAATCGATGGAATTGACCAAATTATCGAATCCATTCGGAAGGACACATAAACCATTTACCGTATTCATAACCGATTGAGAAATAATATTCTCACTGGAAAATAGAGCCAACTTTTCACGACTTCTTGAAATTTCTTAGAGCAATCTCTAAAACAGCGTAAAAATACTATGTTAACTTTAACACTTCTGTGACATCATCCAACGTGATTGATGATAAGGATGAAGTTCCTAGTTTTTTCTTCTTTTCATTTTCGGATATTGATTTATTACAAATAAAAATTGTATATTTAGATATTCTAAAGTCCTAAAGTTACGACAAATTATGAAGGAAGCTAAATGCTCGAATGCAACAGCGTCGAATCTGCTTACATTCATATTATCTTATATTTATATTATCAACCTGCGTTATAAGCGATTTGCCTGTACTGAAATGTCATACAAAAAAAGGTATAAATGATAAATAAAGGTCATATCTGATGCAGCGATGCATTTCTGAAATAGTATTATTATCGAGAAGAATTATCAATTCTCTTAGCTTTCTGATAACAAGTTGATCCAACGAAAACATATATACAATTAAGTCTTTCACTTACTAGTTTTCAGTCCCGAATTTATAAAACGAATTTCTAACGAAAGAGTTAAAAATCTACAAATGTCTGCTTTATCTGCTATGTTTTATCCAAAGTCTCTTCAAAAATCTATTATCTTACACTAGCCGAATTGCTCCGGAACTGATTCGAAATGGAAAACTAGAATTGGTTTCTGATTAAAAATTAGCAGGTAATGAAAAGGAATGAAGAAAGAAGTTAGCAACGGGATTTGAAATTGAATCAGAAGTAGACAGTCTGATGCATCTGGAGCTGATAAAAAACTGAAATTATCTTCTCCCAAAGAGGAACTTCAATTAATTTTAAATCAAAGAGAAGTTCGGCTAATCTCCTCTGGAGTTAATGCACAATGAAAGAAGTAATAACTTGTAAAAAAATCGTTGTTTGAAAAAATTTTTAATTTAAAACAAATAAAAATGGAAAACTGTTAGAAATTTGGTTTAAATCTAAATGCGCTCATTAAATTTGAATAGCTAATCCAGAGTAGAAAAATACAGAAGCACATTTGAAAATGATCAGAATAAATAGCTTAGCTCTTAATTCCTTTCTTTCCATTGCCAACTATTCATAGAATATTGTTACCAAAATTAATTTAAGATCAGATACTTGAATTCCAATCTTAAAAAGCTGGAACTCATTTTCGGGAATAATTTAAAGTCGATTATTCCTGGATTTGTAAGACGAATTTCTAATTAAAGAAAATTCTCAACCACTCACTTTCTCTGCTAATTCTTAACTCACTAATCACACTTCTGGCATTTTACCGAGAATTCCCGACTCCCAGGCAAGATTCCCTGTCTATGATAGCTAATCTCTGTCCATCAAATTAGACCCCATCAATCAGTCCTCATTTTAACTTCAACTCACTCTTAACTGCACTTGAAAATAGTGTGCAATGCGCTATGAACACAGACAGCAAAGAACTATGGAAATAGTATGCCAGCACTGGTGCATACTCTTATTCTCTACCTGTCTCTGCTAAGCTGCAATGG